GGGGGCTGCTGTCTCTGCTGTGAACCAGCAGCTCCCTCCTGCACTGCCTGGCCCTCCAGTTACACTCAGGACCTGGGCAGATTTATTTTACTTTTTCTCTATTTATTGTTATTGAAGGACCATTGTTCCGTGTCCTTGCCAGTGACTTGACAGTATAGGAACTCCCCCGGGGGAAGGCACAGTAGCATTCCCACCACAGATGCCCCCAGAGGCCCCCACCAAAGTCCACTGTGCTCTCTCCTTCTCCCACTCTCACCCCTCTTCACACCCCTCCGAAAGCTACAGACCTATGGTCAGTTTTAAAGCTCATCTTTAACCCTTTGCTTAGTGTTTTTATATTTCACCTGTAAAGACACCATCTGGTATCTATCTTTCTCTTTCTGGCTTATTCACTTAGCATAATTCTTTCCTTCTCTATCCAGGTTGCTGCAAATGGCCTACTTTATCTCTTTTTATCGCTGAGTAGTATTCCATTGTGTATAAACCACATCATCTTAATCTACTCATCTGGTTTTGGGCACTTAGATAGTTCCCATACCTTGGCTGTTATAAATAGTGTTGCAGTAAACATGGGAATATAGGTTTCCTTTTGAATTAGTGTTTTTGTATGTTTTAGTAGATGCCTAGGAGTGGAATTGCTGGGTCATGTGGCAGATGCATCTTTTTCTTTTGAGAAACCACACTGCTTTTCAAAGAGGACCATGTACATTCAAGTAGGCAGGTGTAGGACCATATATTTACTGGGATAACTGTTTGTTTTAAAGCAGAGCTGCAAAATGAGCCATTTTGTTCTTATAGTTCCAGATAATTAGGCATCTACATCTATGTGCGTGCTAGGGTGTGGGTTTGGGACAGAAATCAATGTGTCAGTGGGGACTGATAACTGGGAGAGGCATCAGACTGAAAGTCCTCACATGGAGAGACCCACTGGTTAGCCCAAGGAAGACCCCATGGAAATAATGCAAGTCCTGTGTGTTTGGGGTGGAGATCATAGTGACTTGGGGTCTTCAGGTTTGCCTTCTTGGCCAAGTTGGTCAATAATTCATAACAGATCCAGGAGAGGAGGTGGGGATGTGAGGAAATACGGGGACCTTTGAAGCCAGTGCGGTTGCAAGCCTCATTCTGTAGACGAGATCTTCAGTGTTAAGGGAATCCCCAAGGTTTCTTTCCTGGCTCTTGGGGGCCAGGAAAGAGATCTGCCTTTCACCCAGTGTTCTCACCCACCCCCAGGCTTTCTGAGGCTTCCTAAAGGACCCTGTTCCCCAGTTTGGGACTTTACAATACAGATATTAGAAGAGGGGTATAGCTCACAGACCTTTTGATCTGGGATTCTCTAGCTGTTCATACTATTAATCTAGAACAAGCAGCCCATTCAGCTGAGTAATAAGTACAGGACTGGCTGCTGCCAGTCTGCTACAAACAGATGCCACTTTCTCCTCCCGAATTCTTCCCAGACACCTGGGTCCTAACAAGGAAATGTGGGCTAGGGCAAGAACCATGAAGTCAGCTAGAATTGTGCCAACTCCTACTTCTGCTCTGTTGGACTGTGTAACCTGAGACAGTGGCTGGACTTCTCTGGTTGTTTCTTCATCTATAAGGACTTTCTGAGTCCTTGCAGATGAGAAGGTGGAGTTGAGAGGTACACATGGCGCTTCCCACAGGCTCTCACCACGTGGTAACTCCCAGTGTCACCACTGGAAGATTCATCATCGTCGCTTATTTTCTTTATCTCATCCTCTCCTCTTTCCCTCCTGGGTGGGGGGAGGACACGTGAATGGCTTCAGGCAGGAAGATTCTCAGGAACTTTTAGACCATGAGAACGCATGCACGAGAGACACAAAATCTACAAGTCTCTCCAGGTGGTGACACTCAAGGGAGGCATCCAAGAATGTGAGGTAAAGAAGACCAGTGCCTTGGAGGATTTGATGGAGCAGAAGAGGCTCAAAACAATAGTCCAGGCTTAGGGAAAAATGCACCAGAAATGTTTAGGGACAGTTGGGAAAACATTTTTTAGAGAAGTTTTTTGGCAACTGTTTCCCCACCTCTGCTCTCTGAAAGAGCCAGTAATCCGACGATAACAGTATTCAGTCCAGTAGGGGCTCTCCAGCGATTAGGGCAAAGGAGTGTCTCCAGATGGGAGATGACTGTGTAGGCCAAGTTGAGTAAAACTTCGAGGGTATATATAGAAAGATGTGCTCCTCCGTTGTGGGAAGGATGTGAGCAGTGGCCAAACTCTCTCCATTGAGAATCAGCAGGCTGCAGTAATGAATTCATGTGGCTGGGTGGCGGGCGATAAGGCTGGAGAAATAATTGGGAGACATGTTCAAGAGGCTTAGTGCTCTGGGTCTTCCTTCAGTCCTGTGAAATACATTCGGTCTGAAGACATTTGAATACAGGAGATTTTCATGTTGTCAGCTACTCATTTGTCGGGCCTGCAAACCCGGGTGTTTGTTTTGTGTTAAAGTATGTCACTATGGTGTTCACATATCGGTATGATCTGCAGACACTACTGTATGTGGTTTCATTTCAATTGATGGCAAATGTTTCCCTGCCAGCTCACAAAGAATTTTCGTCTGATAAATCTTTTTCAGATGAGTAGCATGCCAAGATAAATTAATCTGGTCATGAATTACTAAGTCATGAATTATTAAGGGGGTTCTGTAAAGAGGTTCCAGCCATTTCCATTAAGGTTTTGCCCAGTCTGGCTCCAAAATGACTGAAGGGATGTGAACTGTTATTTCACAGAGCATTCTTCTGATATTCTAAGCCATATTTTCCTTCCTTCATATTCCACACCCCCCCCCCACCTTTTTTTTTTTTTTTTTTTGTCAACAAGTTTCCCTTTTAATTCTGGCATTTTTGATTTGCCCATGTTAGTGTCTTACGTGTGTGATCTTAAAAGTGGGAAATTATCTTTGATTGCAAAGGAATTCCAGAGGCTTGAAAATCTGTATCACAGAATTACCTTTGAGCTTTTAGAAAGCCAGGCCTTTCAGGGATGTCCATTATAATTGTATCAGCACTGTGCTAACTTTGCTTCACTGTTAAAAATTTATAAATACAGTATTTTTTAAAGCATACAGAATCATCTTGTTTTCATTCCATGAAAAACTTACTGAGATATTTCTCAGTGAGTTAAAGTTTTGTATCATCACATGAAACTACATAGCATAAGAGAATTTGCTACTTTGAAATGTTAAGATGTTGTAATTGTGCACAGCTACATTCATTGTAGCTGATCTCTTTTGATTAATATTCCTTAAATTATCTTATTTTTAGTAAGCATATGATATAAACAAGGCATTGGTAAAGGTATCTTCAGAATTATTACGATCAAAGGGGAGCTCCTACACTTTAAAACGAAACATTATGAACCAGTGTTACCTCAACAAAAAAATAAAAAGTGTTACTATAAAGAGTTCTTAAATAAGATGCAAAAGTGTTTACCGTAAAAGAGAAAACTGTAAATTTTTATTCATCCAAAAATATCATTGAGAGTGAACAAGCAAGTAGCAGGCAAAGAACTTGATCCAAGATATGGTAATGGTAAAAAAATTAACATTTCTGTAGATAGGTTAGGGCCCTCCGTGGTGGCGCAAGGGGTTAATCACAGCACTATGAAGCTATCTGCAGCCACTGCAGCAGGAGTGTGATCCCCAGCCAGGGAGCTAACCCACATGGAGCTGTCCTGCCCACTGCTCCCCTCAGCAGTATATTTCAGTCAGTCCGTCTGTTCTGCTCCTCACTCTGTCTCTTGTGAATCCTCTCACTCCCTGCCCCGCACCTCTGGCCTGCACCCCAGTTCCTGTATGCATAAAAACAAATCTTTAAAAAAATCTGTAGAGGCCCTCCCTGGTGGCGCAGCGGGTTAAAGCACAGCACTAAGAAGCTAAAGCCACTTCCGCATGAGTTCGATCCCCGCCTGCCCCGGAGGTGACCACATGGCGAGGCAGACCTCTCCTGACCCGCCCGCTGCTCCCCTCAGCAGTGTACAAATATTTATTTACAAAGATTTATTTGTGCATATAGAACTGGGGTACAGGCCAGAGATGTGGAGGGTGAGAGGATTCACCAGAGACAGAGAGAGGAGCAGAATAGGCAGATCAACCAAGTACACTGCTGAGGGGAGCAGCGGGCGGGTCAGGAGAGGTCTGCCACGCCATGTGGTCACCTCCAGGGCAGGCGGGGATCGAACTCATGCGGAAGTGGCTTTAGCTTCTTAGTGCTGTGCTTTAACCCGCTGCGCCACCAGGGAGGGCCATTAAAAAATTTTTTTAAAAAATCTGTAGCTAACAAAAAGAAACAAATCAATGAGTAGAAGACTTGAACAGACACTTGAGAGTTTACAAAAAAACTGCCAAATATTTGAAACTGAATATTTGAAAAAATTCAGTTTCATTAGTCATGTGAAAAACAAATTAAAAACCACAATGAAATACTACTCTATCTCATCAGAGTGGCAAGGATGTGGAAAGACTTGAACTCTCACACATGGTGAGATGACAGTGGTAAAAGTGAGAGAATACCTGTCTCCCCGCCTCTCCCCTCCTCACTCTGCACCCAACAGAAATGAGGGAGAGTACAGAAGGTTACACACAAGAGGCTTCAGCTCTAAATCGGGGGTCTGCAGATCCCTACCCACAGCTCCAGTGGCAAAGCCCATGAGTTAGAAATACTCCTACATTTCTAGTGAGTTGTAAAAAAAAAAAAATTCAAGAACATGCCAGAGACCATTTGTGGCCCACAGAACTAAAACATTTACTCTCTTGCCTTTACCAAAAAAACAGATTGCTTTTCTAGATCTAAAAGTAGAAACAAACCAAATGCCCACCAGCAACAGAAGGCATAAACAAACCACGGTATGTTTACATGACAAAGGGTATACGTAAATGATGAACCATCAGCATGTAACGTGACCCTCTTCCACAGATAAATGCTGAGACCAAGAAGCCAGATAGACAGAAAAGCACATGGTATACGCACTCACTTATATAAAATCCAAAAATGGGTAAACATTTACAAGTCAGGATGATGGTTACTTTTAAATGAGTGTTGCTGGGTGGCATAAAAGGGATTTTGAGATTCTGCTAATACTCTTGTTTCTTTCTCAGGGTGGTGTATGCATTGTGGAGTTCCCAAGAAATAGACCAATTTGTGTCTATTTCTTGGAGTTGTACTTTAGCAAAGTGTTTATTGACAAAGTCTACCCCCAGCACAACGTCATATTCCTGTCACTGGAAAAGCTTCCACTGATCGCCCCCTCTCTGCTATCTGTGGCCTCTCCAGCCGCGGGTCGGTGGATGAACTATACCCATTGACCCCTGCCCAGCCCCTGCCCTTCAAATACTGACACATTCTTCAGCTTCGACGCACAACTAACTCATGCCGAGCCTGAAGGGAGAGCCAGCGAGCTCGAGGCTTTGAGAGTCAGCAACGCTGCGTCTTCTGAAAACCATGAATGTGGTGGAAAAACCCTGTATGTTCTTGAGATATTTAGTCCCATGTCACAGTGTGCTTTCCCCTTCTTTCTTCAAGGGGGTGTACACCGCCTGGAGTCTGTCGAAGAATATAATGAGCTGATGGTGCGGAATGGGGACCCCAGGGCCAGGATGTTGGAGGTCTCCCGAGACGGCCGAAAGCACTCTCTTCCCCAGCTCTTGGACTCCTCTGGGGCCTCACAGGTAGGCCGCTGCCCGGATCTCTTGCCTTCTCACATAATCACAGTTGCCTAGTTAGGGAGAGAGAGCAGGTTTCCACCCCTGGGTGTCTCACCGTCTTCTGTTCTTTCAAAGACCAACAAGAATTTACATGTTCTGAGGAACTTACTATCTCTTTGGACCAGGAGCATTTGGCGCTGGAGATGTGGAAGGGAGGGAGGTCTGTCCAGGGAAGCAGGAGGAAGCCAGCCTAGTATTTGAAAATAGTAGAGAAGCAAAAAAAATCCTTTGGAGCTGAGCGTCAGACGCCCTTCCTTCTGTGAGTTCTGGGACTGAGAGCTACTTTCAACTGCCAGGAGACGGTGGCGCTCCACGGCCTGTGGTGAACCACCAGCATGTCATGTGTCAGCGTAACGTGTGTGGGTGGTTACGGGCCGCGTGGGAGAGGAGGGAATGTGTGTGTGCCTGTGCTGCCACTGGGAGCCTACCTGTTAACAAGGAATGACTCACGGAGCCAAGGGCAGGAGAGGATGCCGCAGGGGTGAGGTGGGCAGTAATTTGAATAGTCCAGTGCCCCGCCCCATCAGAACTCTGAGTTCTTTAACCCTGCACCGGGCTTCTCCTCATTACATCACTCTCAGATCTCTCAGGGGGAGATATCTCATACCAAGTTGGAGGCAGACTCAGTCTCTGTAGAGCTTGAAGGAGACCTTCAGCCAGAGGGTTAAGGGGCGATATTGTCACCTTGTCCCCAGGCCCACAATGAGGCAGAAATAGGAGAGGGTGTGTCCGTCTTGATACCTGCAGGGGCTAGGCGACTCCAAGGCTGTAGGGCGGTCGAAAAGCTGAGTCTGGCCATCTGGACCAGCCCCTTGAGTTTGATGTGTCACCCTTTTACAGACAGGATCACCAAGCCTCAAAGTGGCTGGGTGTTTTGCTCAGAGTGAAATGCCAGTGCCTCTGTCTGTAAGGCAAATTTTAAGGCCAATGAAATCACATGTTTCAGAGACCATCACTGTTGACTCCATTGTCTTGTGTTGACGCCACTCAAAAGCAGCTTGAGTTGGTGACAAGAAAAAGGAGGGCAAAATCTTGCATGGGAGCTGGTTAAAACTTCTCTAGCCCCAAGACTGGAGACCAGTTTGTGAGCTCAGAATGACCCAGTGGGACCAACAGAGTGGGGGTGGGGACAGTGAGAAAAGTGGAGTCATGAGTCCAGGCTGTTTTTGTCAGTGTGGAAGATGAGAGAAGATTTACCACCATCATGGCCAAGGGCCTACCATTTATAACTGATCCCGCTGAGGAAACGTGGCCGTATTATAGATCGGAAGCATCTATTTTAAAGCATGGGCTGGACATAGCAGGAAGCACAGACTGATGAAGATTCTAGAGAAAAGATTTGTTTTTTACCTTCTTCAGAATGCCCTTTCGCTGTTCTTATTTTCTGACCTTTCTTTTTAATTTTTGGTCAAGATTTATGACTTTTTTCATGTTCTCTCCCTCCACTAAGAAAGCACTATCTGGAATAGAACTATCTGGTAAAATTCTCTGCAACCTTGGGAACATTTGATAGCGGTACTGTCCAGTGTGGAAGCCACGTGCATCTATGGAAAGCTCATGGAAAGTGGTCAGGGAGGCTGAGGACTGTGGGTTTAACTTTAATCCATCAGTTGAATTTCGTTTAAACACAGTTGACCATTTGAAAACAGCGTGGGTTCGAGCTGCATAGGTCCTCTCCTGTGTGGGTTTTCCAATGAATACAGTTGGCCTTCCACATCCGTGGGTTCCATGGCCAGTATCAGTTGCTTGGGTTCACAGAAGCAGAGCCCATAGGTGTGGCAGGGCTACCGTGAGTGGATTTTCGTATCTGTAGGGGTCCTGAAACCAACCCCATGGATACCAAGGGATCACTGTAGTTATGTTTTTTGGGGACTCATAATCATACTCAGGTTTTCTGCTGCTCAGTTGTTTAAAGGTCAGCTGCCTGAAGAGCTACAGGTCACTGTTGCTGCCATATTGAACAGCACAGACGGTGCAAGGGCATTGAGACTCCAAACTCTTCAAGAGAACAGTGGAGCACACAGGCCCTTGGCCCCTCCTGGTTCCCTAGAGGGAGCTGAAGTACCGCGGGAGGCTGGTGATCAGGACAAGGCTCCCTCACGCGTCTCCATGGAACCTTTTTCAAGGATTCAAAATCCAGGGGTTCTCTCTGGCCTTCACAGTGGTGTCTGCAACAGGTAGTAACCTCACCCAGCCAACGTCATCTATTTAATGAGGCAGTGTCTGGGAGGCCAACAGTGCCTGCAAATATTTATTTAAATGCAACATAAAAATTGTTCTGAGCTGCCATGAATATAAAAATATTAGCAGACACTCATTTTTACTTTTCAATGTAGAATATGTTAATTAAGGCTTAAAAGTATCCTGATGTCTCTTACGTGTGAAGTCGTTTTTTTAATTTGGCTCAGACGAGAGTATCTGTGTCATTTAGGAAATTATTATTCTAAAAAGAACAGCAAAGAATGCTTAAGCAATAGGTTGACTTAGTTTCTCGTTGGTTCTGCATCCCACTCCCACACACCTACCTGGTGGGGATGGCCAGGAAGGGAGAGTCTGGCTTATGGGAACATGTTTTTAATGTGAGAGATTAGAACTGAAACTGGGATGTTTTCTGTGGAATATCAGTTGCCTGGGTCTGTGGCTTTAGGGTTATAAGAAGTCAAAGCTTGCTAAGTTTTTGAGTGAGCGAACTAAGCTGCAGATGGGTGAGATACTTTCTAACCATGACTGTGAACTTGGGGGGCAGGCCTCCCAGGGAGAACCTGACTGCAGGATGGTCACCCATCGTGAGTAAGGCTGCTGGGTTTCGGGATCCTCACTCCACCCCAGAAAGCAAGTGGGGACTGTGCTGTACTGTTAAGGAAAGAGCAACCCAGTGCTTGCTGCCTCCAAGCTGTCGCCTGTCTTGAGGGTGAGGGGGAAGGCGGAGCAAGCAGTCGCAGCTGGGGATCTTCCTTTAGTACCACTCATAGCAAGCTTCAGTAACTTTAAGCCGCTGCGTCCAGCACGGGCCGGGGAGCTAGCCCAACACAAACGATAGGTGGAGTCTTCAAGCTCTGAGTACACCTTGGTGCCAGAGACCACGGCAGAGCGGGGGTCACAGTCAGCAACCTTGCCCTGTGCTCACTTCCAGGAATACCACATCGTGAAGAAGTCAGCCCGCTCCCTGAGCACCACGCAGGTGGAGTCTCCCTGGAGGCTCATTCGGCCTTCGGTCATCTCTATCATTGGGCTGTACAAAGAGAAGGGCAAGGTGAGCCTATTCTGTGTGGGGCTCTCCTGTTGTGTGTGTGTGGGGGGGTGCTTCTACATGCACTAAGAGTAAAAGAGAGGAGTGGTTAAGGGACCCTTATACAGATTTGTATGGGTGCCCTGGTACCCCCTCCCGTGGGCTGCCCAGTGAGGTGGCCACACCCACCAGCCCTGGTGGTGAGGGCACAGCCGGGGTCAGAGCGAGGGCCCAAATTGTGCCTCCTTTGCAAGAAAAACAGACACTTCAGGAAATACAGCTGTCCTCTGAATGAGCTTTATGGCATTGCAAAGAGACGAATGAAAATAACTTGATGGTAGGCAAAGATTAAAATGCCCGTTTTGATGTTATCCAGAAACAGCAATAAGACAAATAGGGCATTTACACAATAGGACAAGACTCTCAAGCTGTTCGCTGACCTAAACGAAATCAATATTGTTGGAGGACTCCTTCAATGCAGCGCCTGGCTAGCACGATGCAGATGGGTCTGAGGAGGGACGCGTGTGGATTTACAGCTAGTTAGCCACATGTGAGCCTAGTTGGAAGAGCACCACAGTGAAATGCTGCCATGGGAAGGGTGCCCTCAGTTCAGTGCTGCAATTGATAACCTGCGCCCCGTCTACTCTGTAGGGCCTGGGCTTCAGCATTGCTGGAGGTCGAGACTGCATTCGAGGACAGATGGGGATTTTTGTCAAGACCATTTTTCCAAATGGATCGGCTGCCGAGGATGGAAGACTAAAAGAAGGTAGGAGAAAGTTTGTTTGGTGGTTGTCTGAGCTTTGATTCCACAAGAATATGCCCCCTTGCAAGCTGTGAAGTAAATAATTCAGCATTTAAGACCATGGGCTGGGAGTTGAATAAACCTGGGCTGGCTTCACCAAAACCTGGGCTGGCTTCACCACCTGCCCCATCAGGTGGCAATTGATGTGCCCGAGCTTAGTTTTCCTCCCTTGTAAGCTTGGAAGAATTGTGAGGATGAGATGAAATGCAATGAGACATGGAAAGTGACTTAGTATTTTCACGTGGTCTTGAAATGTCTGTCTTTTATAGGACCTATTGGTCTTTGCTCAGGTGTTTACCTTGATTTCTGAGAGTCTGTATCTAGTCTCAGGACTGGACATGAACATCAGCTACATTCTCTTAGCACCTCCCACCTGGCAGCCCACATAGCATCCTGGACAGATGCTTTCTCCCTCTCAGCTTTATTGCGATATTAGTGTTATATAACATGTGTAACTGTGTATATACATACACACATACATACAGATATAGCGAAATGGTTATCACTGTAAGGTTAACTGTTTCCTCCATTACTCCACATAATGACTGCGTGTGTGTGTGTGTGTGTGTGTGTGTGTGTGTGTGTAGTGAAAACGTTTAAGATGGCTTTCTTAGTAGTTTGGAAGCATATAACCTAGTATGTTAACTACAGTTGCCATGGTGTTATTAGATCTCTGGGACTTATTCATGAATGCTGAGCTTTTTCCCTCCTCCTTACTCTAATCCCTTCATGAAATTAATAACTCACATTTCTAGTTACCTTAAAAATTGCTGTGACTTTCAGGTCAGTCAAGTGAAACTACAGTTGCTGTTGTGTTAAACCAGATAATTTTTTTTAACTAATAAATGTATTGCAGGCCTCTTTTTTTTTTTAAACAGACTGAGCCCAGAAGCTTGTGTGCTAACACAAAAGATGAGCCCAGGCTTAATATTTTGATGGCAGAATGTTTCTTTCTCTCCCCAGGGAAGAGTGAGCTCCCAGGTGGGGGTTGTGTTTAGTTTCAGAACGTGAAATTCCAGCAGGGAATTTTTATAATGGACATGCCATTGTTCACCCGCTTGAAATTCATGCCACAATGCCGGTAGCATGGAGCAAAATGCAGGGGGAAAAAATTCCCCAGTTAGGAAACGTTCATAGCATTTGATTCTCCTAAACCTTGCTTTTTCATATGTGTTCATTTACAACAAGCAGTCATTGGAATTTGTTTCCAACCTTCTGAATGGAAGACAGATTGTTTAAAGATTGTTCAGAAGGTGAAGCGTTCGTTAGGACGTTTCTGTCCTTTTCCCGCGTGGACGCCAACCCAGACCTCCCCCAGCTGAGTAACTGGCTCTGCCGGTGATTCTGAAACAGAATACTGCTTCACTTAGTTGACATCTTCTGTCACTGCCAGAAGGGGAGGGTGCAGACCGGGCCGCAGCTCCCTCGCTAAGCTCACCTAGGCGGCCCCTTTCATCCGAGGCTCAGTGCGCCTGACCGGCGTCTCTGAGAGGTGCAAATGTGTGTTCTCATGCTGCTCTGACTTTGTTGGAGGTGAGGGAAGTCCCTCGTGAGCACTGCACTGCTGTGCAAGTTCATCTGCTCTTTGTCGTGCATTTGATGAACTGCTAGTCCAGAAAACAGACCGTGTCACTAGAGTGCAAACCAGAAACACCTCTGATGAGTCAACAGGATGTCCAAGAACTTTTCTATTCCCAGTCCACTAGCAACAGCTTGAAAAATGACCTGACTCTACCTTCTTGGGGTTGTGCCTGCACCTAGGAGAGGTTGGGGGAGGGAGGAAGAAAAGAAGCAAGGCGAGAGAGTACAGTTTCACATCAGCCGGCAGCCGCCTTCTAGACAGAAGCCTACAAGCATGTGCCGGAGTGACGGCTGAGCACCCAACACGCATCAGTAAGACGGAGCCTCTGGCCAGCAGCGATGGCACCTCCCTGCCGAAGTAGTAGCTCAGCGAGTTTTCTGTCTCCACTGCTGAAACCATTTCTAATACACCGGTCCTGGCTCCTGGGGTCCTGCTGCAGAGAGAGGAGGGACCGTGCACGTGTTGTGTGGGTTCACGCTTCATCACCACCGGCCTTAAGGTTTTAAACAAAGATGATGAAGACCTGGGCCATGTTTTGCAGTTTGATTTGAAGCGTACAACTTCTCCTGTCAAAGTTGGCAGTGGCTAAAGAAAAAGGTCTTGCTGCTTCCCAAAGTTGTTTTAATTCAAGACTCCTGCCAAGGGGCTGCAAAAGGAGGTGCGTTGCCACTCGCTGTCCCATGCTGTGACATTTCTGGAAACTAAGCTAGTGAAAGAGGGTTAGAATAATAAAATTCACTTTATGGAGTTGTGACCCGGGTGCCACGTATCATCCTAGGGTAAGACCGACCGAGCAGTTAGATTCCGGTAAGTTGAAAGCTTGTTGCTAACGTTAATTCTCACATTTGGTCGTTAGGAGATGAAATCCTCGATGTCAACGGAATACCAATAAAGGGCTTGACGTTTCAAGAAGCCATCCATACCTTTAAGGTAACACCATTCTCGTTGATGTCCTTTTTCACTTGGCTTCCTTTATTTCCTTCCAGTTTGGGTTTGGTGGGGTTTCTACCTCTTGAAAGAGAAACCACGTGCTTCCTTCCTGTCCCTCAGCAAATCCGGAGCGGGTTATTTGTCTTGACGGTCCGCACAAAGCTGCTGAGCCCAAGCCTCACTCCCTGTTCTACACCGACACACATGAGCAGATCCAGCTCCCCGAATTTTAACCTCAGTGGGGGATCCTCAGCCGTTGGCTCGGACGAAGGCAGTTCCTCATCCCTGGGGCGCAAGGCCCCTGGGCCCAAGGACAGGATCGTCATGGAAGTCACACTCAACAAAGGTGGGCCTCGAGTTCCCACTTTCATTGCATTCCCGCGATAACAGCTCGTGTTCTGTGCTCAGGTTCATTGTTTGATGCTGTCTATGTCCCTTTGCCACGATCTGCTCTCGCCAGCATGGAGGCTCTCCAAGGCGACCGTGGGATCAAAGGAGAAACTTGAGTTTTGTAAGAGTGAAGGGAGGTTACCAGTAACACCAAGTGCTTTAAGCTCTTCCAGATGAAGCAGTGTGTGTCAGAGACATGCTTAAAAAAAATTGCCTTGCTTAAGGAGGGAGAGGGATCAAAACAGGGGAGGGCAGAGCACAAGGGACTGTGAAGATGGCGCAGCAGTGAATGGGGGCCACCCCCATTTGCTTGTTAACACATCCCCTTTGACTGCCCTCCCACAGAGCCCAGAGTTGGGCTGGGCATTGGTGCCTGCTGCCTGGCCCTAGAGAGCAGCCCTCCAGGCATCTACATCCACAGCCTGGCCCCAGGATCCGTGGCCAAGATGGAGAGCAACCTGAGGTGCGTCTTATTTTTTTTATCTTAAACATTTATTTATGCATACGAGAACTGGGGTACAGACCAGAGATGGGGGGTTAAGAGGGTTAAGAGTGGGGAGCAGAACAGGCACATGGGCTGAAATACACTGAGGAGAGCAGTGGGTGAAACAGGAGAGGTCTGCTGCGCCATGTGGGTCAGCTCCCTGCCTGGGGACTGAATGCACGCTGCAATGGCTGCCCACAGCTTCACTGCTGTGCCTCAACCCCTTATGCCACCAGGGAGGCCCCTAAGGTTTGTTTTAAACCCGCTGTGTTCATGACTGTGTGAATACACACACGGAACATTTCTGCTCTAGTCCCTTCTTCTGTGGGACTCTAAATCTTTGTGTTATTTGGAGACATATACCCAGGATTGCAATTAATAGCCTCTCCAAAGATGAAAAGCGAGTGTAAATGCAATTGGGTTGAACTCTGGGATCTTGGCTTTCCTTACTGATTTTGTTCTACTTGGACTCAGAAGTTCAGTTTCAGAAACATGACAAAATACAAGCTATGCAGATAGCTATGACTGTCTAAGTATTTTCTTTCACTTTTGTATTCATTTATGTAAAATTCATGTGACATGCTGGCAACGCCTCACGAAGGTTCAGAATCACTGGGTGCAAGAGACCTGAAATCGTGTCCTTGATCTGGAGACCTTTCTTATTAAGTCTTATCTTTTGATCTTTTCCACTTCATTCTTTTTGAATAGTGATGTCTAGATGCTTGTTGCCTGAAATCACTGCATGTCTGACTTCGCAATCAGTTGGTGGAATGGAGTGTGGGTATTGTGTTTATACAAGAGCTGTCTAGGTATGCTGTGATACATAGTGATGGCAATGAGGTGGTACCCACCTAAACTCCACAAGAATGTACACGCATTGCATAAAGTACTCTGTGCAAACAGTATCACTTTTCTCCACTGTAAGCTTCTAAGTCCTTGAGCAATTGAGGAATTGTCAGAATGGCATTCCTTGAGGTTACCATTTGGGGGCTGCTTTAATAGATTATATTATGTCTTTAGTTAATCATCAGAGTGAATTTCCATATGAAAAAATTTTTAACAAATCATCCAAAGTACATTAAAGAAAATATACTTTTAGAACCCAAGGAAAAAAAATCCTTTAATGACATCCCAAGATGATGTTTCTTTCTTGAGTGGTTCCATGTGCCCAGAGCCTGCCAAATGAACATTCTTCAACCCACATAAAGCCTCTTTGTTCTTTCATACTAAGTTCTCTCCCTATAATTTCCAGTCAGAATGGGCATCTTGTCCCCAATTTCTCATTTGTTCAGATTTGAAACGTTCTTACAAATTCTTGGGTAACCTTTGAGCTTCAGATATTTCCTCCTTAAATTATATTACAATAATCATTTCAAGATGGTGAGAAGAGATGGAAGTGGAGGGCCGCTCACATGATGATGAACATTAGACCCCACTCCACAGTGTGTGACATCTCAGTGACCTCTGTGAACCTGTGGCCTTATCTCCATAATAGGGATAATGATGCACCTCAGAGCCTTGTTATGCAAATTGCTCCATAGGTGCCTCCCATAATGGGCTCAAGAAATCAAAGCCTTCATTGTTGTTCATATTACCACTTTTATTTAACTTTACTGTTTCTGAAAATGTGTGAGATATGCAAAGTGACTTTTGCCAATTTCAGATCTACTGTGTATATAGAACTGTATTGCTTTTTTACACATATGCAAAGAGAAAGGTGTCATTTCCTTTTTTTTTTTCTTTTAAGTATTCAGACAAGAACTCATAAGACTGTCCCAGAAAGAAATCTTTTAAAAAGCTGTTAACCGCAGTGTGACTATGTTCCTCCCTAGTCGTGGAGATCAAATCCTGGAAGTGAATTCAGTCAACGTTCGCCACGCTGCTTTAAGCAAAGTCCACGCCATCTTGAGCAAATGCCCCCCCGGGCCCGTTCGCCTCGTCATCGGCCGGCACCCTAACCCAAAGGTGACGTGTTCACTGCTGCTCCGAGTCTGGGCGACGCATATCTCCTTAGGACAGTGTATGCTGTGGTGAGACCATCTCCCAGGGTGCAGACAGGAGACGGCTTGTGGCCACACAGTGGTCATGGATAGACATGAAAAAGGAGCCATTGATCTAGGCTTCACCTTCACACCTTCAAAAATGTTACCAGTGCTCTTGGTGTATTTAAAACTTGGCAGGAAGTAGGAGTGCTGGGTTCTGAGTATCTCTTGGCTGGCTCCCTCTCACTAATGAGAGACTTACCCTCTTTGGGTAAGACAGTCTGAGCATTGGACCATGTGGTCCATACAGGCCATTCTTTTTCTGTTTTTTAAGATTTATTTTATGTATTTATGCATGCAAGAAGAGCTGGGGTATAAGCCTGAGGGGTGGGGAGAGAGAGAGGAGGGTGAGAGGATTCACCAGAGACGTAGTGGGGAGCAGAACGGCGAATCCATTGAAACACGCTGCTGAGGGGAGCAGCGGGCAGGACTGGAGAGGTCTGCTGAGCCATGTGAGTCACCTGCCTGGCTGGGAATCAAACTTGTGCTGCAGTGGCTGTCGATAGCTTCATAGTCCTGGGACTTACCCCCTTGTGCCACAAGGGAGACTCCATCTGGGCCATTCTTGACCTGAGTCCTTTATAATTAGCTGTGAGCTCACTGACTTTGCTCAGCGTCAGAGTCACACTGTTGACCTCTTGCAGGAGCCACAGTGCCCATGTCCCTGGCCTCTGCCACCACTCGGTCCTCACTGTATGTACTTGGATGGTGTCCACTTAGCAACTTATTTGCTTCTAATTTTTTTTTTCAAGATTTATTTGTGCATACAGAACTGGGGTACAGGCCAGAGGCTCAGGGGCGGTGAGAGGCCTCACCAGAGACAGAGCGGGGAACAGAACAGGCAGATCGACAAAGTACACTGCTGAGGGGAGCAGCGGGCCGGTCAGGAGAGGTCTGCCACACCATGTGGTCTCCTCCGGGGCAGGCGGGAATCGAACTCATGCGGAAGCAGCTTTAGATTCCCAGTGCTATGCTTTAACCCGCTGCGCCACCAGGGAGGGCCAATTTGCTTCTAATTTTTTAAGCTACCCACAGGACATTTGGGTAGTTATCACACAATCTACTTTGAGCATTTGTTTTTGTTTCGAGTGCTCGATGTAAAAATCCCTCCAAACTAGCTTTCAATTTAAACATTGTGCAGTTGAAACTTGAACATCTTGGGTATAAGAGAACTGACGCTCCACACCGTTAAAAACCCTGGCATAACTTTTGACTGACTCCCAAAACTTAACTAACAGTGTTCGGTGACTGGAAACTTACTGATAATGCAGCCACTCGCACAGCTGTTGTTTAATGATATGTGTTCTATGCTGAGTCCTTACGATAAACTAGAGAAAAATGGATGCTATTAAGAAAATCAGAGAAAATGCACCTACGTACTGTGCTGGGTTTAGCGATGCCTTCAGGTTCATCTCCTGTTTACAAGGAAATCTGCTTATTGGTGGGGCTGTACAGTTTAACCCGTGTTGTTCAGTAGTCAGCAGTGATCAAGGTCGTAGCTTTCAACCACACCAAGTCCTCATGAAGTATAGCAGCTCTCCCCCGTCCGCCATACATCTCTGCTGCCCTTTGTTATTTGCAGTACAATGTGATTCTTTCTAAATGGGCCCAGGCTCCTCGGTTTGACAGCCTGTGAGCCACTGTGAGTGCCCACGGTCTGTGCCAGGAAGCCCTGTGGTCCTCCTCTGTGCACAGACATGACCTGGAGACATCACGGCGGCAGTGAGGGTGCCCACCCTTCTCTGTTGGTGCTCAGGAAGTTCGAGACTTCCTTTACTGGTTTTTCCCAGACGAGCTACTGCTCTCACGAGAGGGATGTCAGGCCTGGCACTTACACTGAGGCTAGCAGAAGACCAACAAGTCAACCCCACAACTCTCTTTCTTTTTTTTTTTTTTTGCCTTCTTATGTTCTCAAAAATAGTTAGGAAAATGCTTTTTCGATAAAGGCCACCAATATAAAATCAAGTCCTGCTTCCACCTTCTTCCATTTTTCCGACTGGGCACTTCCCACTGTGGTCCTTTGTATCCTTCCAGAAGCTACCCAGCTTCCTCGGCTGCTGGGCCCATGCTTCTCTTTGACTCACTTTTGACACCCTCATCCACACAGTAAGAACAGACTCGGCTCCTTCCCCTGGGTCCCCTCTTGGTCCACCACCCGCGTGTTCACAGCTCCTTGAACCCTCGAAAACGCTCCAGCGAGCTGCGGCTGGTCTGGCACACCCCTCAGCAACATTATAGAACATCAGTTCTCTGCGGTTGCCATCACTGACTCCCAGGCATGTCTGACTTCAAAGCCCTTTCCAGAATAACATAGGTCATGATTTGTCTGGAGGTCCACTCCACCTCAGCCCACATGCTTCTGTCTAACTTGCCAATATAAGCAAACATCAAAATGGTGTTTCAGTACGAAGCACAATAATCCTAGCACACTGGTGGCCCGAGACCCTGGGATCATGCTCGTTGAAATGTTTCTAGCCACAATAAAATGCTCGTCTGTGGTGGTGTTGGAGAAATGTCCAGAAAAACCAACTTTCAGTATTTGTTTGATTGGATTTCACGTTTCTTCCTAGGTAAACATGGCATTCTTAGTGGTAATATCATACTATATTTTTCTTTTGGTCAAGATTTCATTTTATGTCTAATGTATTTTTGTACCACTTACCCCAGCATTTCATGCCAATAATACATTTGGAGCTGAATGTATGGGCCTTCTTGGTTTTCATGTTGTTCCAAGAGAAATACCACAAGGACTTTCTTTTCTCCTGTTTCTCATAATGACTACAGCGCTGGCTGCCTGTTGGGTATTCAAACCCTCCTGGTCTAGACAAGCTACGATTTGGACCTGCTCAGGTAGCAGTTTCCAGCTTATGTTAAGTGGGAGAAAGGGAGGTCGTGTTTAATTGGGTTGGTGTTTGCAGCAGGAATAGAACTCTCCAGGAAATCTTTCACTTGCTTCAAACCCCAGGCATTTTTCTCCCACTTATAAAAACAGTTGAGATATTGAAAGTCTAGCATCAAGAAAAGTTTGTAATTACTATTTAAGCTGATACTTTCCCTGGCTCATTTTTATGAAATTACTCTTTGCTTGCTGGTGGGGGTAGGTATGTGAGTGAGTTCCTGTAGGCATGCATAGGCACAATTTTATTTCCTGTGAAGCCTGCTAGACAGTATCACATAAAGGCCACAATCTGATTGTGATTTATCTGTTAGGTTAAAATATAATGCCGAACCCTGTACAGAAATGTTTACTTACTTATTAGGAGGAATTGCTCTGCTTATCCAAATATTTATATAAGATATTATTTTACTACACAAAGTTGCTATTCTAAATTTAATATCTTCCTAAATGACAAAAGAAACTAAACAATTTCCTAATTATTTTTTAAAGTAGCATGTATTCCATTACACAGTAGGCTCTTTAAAAATTTCCCAAGAATAACCACCATCATGGATAACTGATAGCATAAACGTCCCTGCGTCTACAACGATACCCATAAATATGGAAAGATTATAACCACTTAAGACTCTAAAAGAATAATTGATTCAGGCAGGAGTAACCAATGATGCTAAAACCACTGAGTGAAAATATATCGAGAAGCAGAATATCTACCATCTCAAACTGCCTCGTCACAGATAACATATTAATGGCCCAACGAATCCAGTATAGAAACCTGGCAGACTCCTTCCTGATCAAGAAATCAGACTTATCATCACCACTTATGAGCTGCATTGATCCGGAGTGTTCCATGAGCTGTGGGGGAAGAAATTTTTTTTTTGTAGGTTTTTGGCCAAAGAAAATATACAATCTAAATCTATGCATGAAAAAAACCACCAGACAGCTCCTGGTTGAGGGTTTAGATCGGTCTGGGTTCTTCCACAATATCAGCACCATGACAGACAAAGGCTCAGGGATTGTTTTGATGAAGGGAGACTAAAGAGATAGGACAAGTAGATCCCGGATTAAATTCTGAGCTGCCAAAAAATATCTTTTTCAAAGCATTACTGTGTGGAGTAATTGGTCCTTGACAGTGCACTAAAGGGCCACAGGATAAGGAGTGTGTCCCAGAATGCAAATCAGCCACATTACCATGCACCTGTTTAGTTCAGGTGACATTTTCTTTCTAGCCAAATGTTGATGAAAGAATCTGTGTGATGATTCGCCTGCACAAGGAACATCCTTATCACAGGCAGCCTCACACTCTGCACATGGTTTCCATTCTGCAGACATGCCTTGAGTAGACTTCTGAGGGAGGATAGTTGGCTAATTTGGAATATGTCATGTATAATAGACAGTTGTTTCGCATTAATGTTAAGTTTCTGGAATTTTTTAGCAGTACCAGGACATTGTTTTGAAGAGAAACATGCTAAAATATTGATGCATAAAGGGTCATGATGTCAGCGACTTACTCCCAAGTGCTTTCGGAAACAGTGAAAGCAGGGTGGATACGTATGTAAAGGGAAGGTGTGAGCATCAGTGTGGCAAGATAGCTTTTAAAAATGTGAATTCAGACGAAGAGTAGTAGTCTTGTGTTCTGGCAACTTTTATGTAGGTCTGAAAGGAGTTAAAGTTTCAAACAGAGAAGCAGTGTTGTAGAAGGAGGTAGATACCAGCCACGTCGCGGGTAACCATCGCCCCTGAATTCTTTGCTGAATGCACCTGGAATGCACATGAAGTCTTACTTGTACACATCACAGGAACCATTCAGTTAATGCAACTGTCCGTCTTCACCCCAGCATTACTGCTTCAAAGGGTGGATGAAATCTTTGGCTTGTGGTTTGCATTTTTGTCTATGCTCAGCCCCTCACTCTGGTCCTCTGGTACTCTTATTGGGGGAATAAATAAATAAAACCATCTAATTTGTGCTTTCTTCTGAAAATCAGGTTTCCGAGCAGGAAATGGATGAAGTGATAGCACGCAGCACTTACCAGGAGAGCAAAGAGGCCAATTCCTCCCCCAGCTTAGGTATTGTGATCGCTCATTTTCATTCAACATTCAGAAAAGCGTTTCTCATTAAATTCCCCCATGGGACCACTCCCCAGACAATATTATTAGATTCTCTGTCACCAAGTTTAGTAAAAGAAACTGTCAAAGAAATTCCGTGTTTTTTTGCTACCTTTGATTTCTGCATTTTAATGGACTTTATGAAAGTTCTAATCATGCATGCTTCTTATACTCAATTAAGATAACTTACAAAAATGAGTTAGCAGCACTTCATGTATTCATGTGCAATTCATCTGACATGTTCAAGATGAAAATGAGTTAACACCAAACGGTCAGATACAGGTATAAGCTGTGCAACAGCCAGGGGTGTCTTTACATGAATTAAAAGTTTCAACTCAAGAAGGGTAAGAGAGAATGCCAAAAGCATGATTTTCCCCTTGTGTGATAAAGTCAAGCAGAAAAAGACGGATAATCAGAATTTCATGAATTTAAAATTATGAAGCACTACTATTTCCTGTAGAATGAAAACAGAAAGGGACACCACGAACATTTCTGAGCATGAGACATTCATGCTGTTAAGACTGATGTCAGGAGGAGAAGGAACTGAGACATGAGTTACTGGCTGTCCCAGGAAAAGGAAAGCAGAGGGTTTTTGGCAGCCACGATTCTTTGTATCCATAATTAATATATTTAAAGAAGCCACAATCATAATGGACTCTTTATTCACCCAGCTCATGCTCCGGATCTCCCTGATATCTGTCCTCTTTAATCCCAATACATCCACTTAATCATTCGTGAAAGATTTTATTAAGCCACGATCTCATGTCCATGATCTTCCTGCCTTTTGCCCAAGGCAGAGAATTTAAAGTAGATATTCAGCTCTCCCCTAGTTCCTTCATGAGTTCATGGGTGATGGCCCCGAACATAATTCCCTCCATGAACAGGGCAAGTACCACTGAAACCTTAGACCCACATGGCCTGCCGAGTACTGTGGGGTCAAAGCACAGGGCTCTGCCCTGTGATACTTAAAATCGTCCAGGAACGGAGATGAGATCGGTCTCCGTTCAAGTCCACTGTGTATGTGGAAATTGGTATACAGGCAGTATAAAGTACTTCTGATATTCTGAAGTGATAGCACGCAGCACTTACCCAACAGGGGTCACTGTAGAGGAGATAGCTTCCAAGTTAAGACTTGAAATGTGAGGAGAATCTTGGGAGATGGGATAGGGGGGCGGAGGGCGGGATGGGGTGCCGACACACACACCTGTGCTCAGTTCATCGGTGCCACTCAGGCAGAGAGAGTTTTGTTTAATGTTTGGTTCCTTCTTTGATAATTAAGAATGTGGGTCTTTATGGAAGAACTTGAGCGTCACTGTTTTGACAATATGGTGATCTCCTCCCCCACCCCCCCAACAGGTACTCCCTTGAAGAGTCCCTCTCTGGCCAAAAAGGTGAGTCAAGGTGCATGTTGACCCCATAGCTGGTCCCAGTGGGTTTCCTGGAGCCCACAAGTGCAGCCTGAGGGCCCAGCCCCATGAATGTCTGTGCATCTTCTTGGCCATTTTACTCAGGAAACAGAAACAACAACAGAACTAGTTTGAGAACAAATACACAAATGTGTGTTTCTGTTCTTGAGTATTTATCCAGGAAAAGAATAGAATAACAAATAAAAGAACTGAGCAGCAGTTGAAAGGTGGCTTGCAAATTGTTCCTAAGGAGACCAGTTTCTCAGTCCTAGTGGATCAGAATACAGGATTCAAACACTCTGTTTTTTTGTTTCATGGAGGGTGGATGAAATTTGGCCTGGAATTTCATTGTTTTCTTATCCCTGCCCTTGTTGCTTCTCCTGGGATACCCAATCTGCTGCTGCTGCTGGGACTTTTCTAATCGTGGCCAAAAATAAACTCTTCAAAACATTATCTGGCAGCACCCGTGACCTTTTCATTCATTAATTGCTCAACTTAGTCATACTAAAATAAATGCAAGTGGGTGTTTACTATCGCAGCTGTTTTGAATGACCGCCGGTTAGAACAAAGTGTGCATGGACGGGTAGGAAGTCGTTGCCAGGCCAAGGGCCTGCTTCCGCTGCGCGGTCCTCGACATCCACCCTTCTCTTCCCCAGGATGCCCTGAGTGCGGAATCTGAGCTCTCCCAGTACTTTGCCCACGATGGCCCAGGCCCCTTGCCAGACTTCGTGGTGGCTGGCTCTGAGGACGAGGAGCACCCAGGAAGTGGCTGCAGCACCTCGGAGGACTGCAGCCTGGCACCCAGCACCCTCAGTAAGCAGGGCCCTGGGCAGGGCTGCCCCGGCTGGTGTGGCATCTGCAGGAGGCCATGTTGGCTTCGGCGTCATGGCGCTGGCATGAGGGAAGAGTGCTGGGAACTGGCACTGACGGAGCAGAAGCCTCGGTCTGTCTCTGGCTAAGTTCAGTCTGCTCGTGGACAACATAGCCTGTGGCTAGTGACTGGCCTTGGTGCAGTGAATGGAGGGGGTGGGGGAGAGGGCACCTTCTGGGCCTGGTGTAAATGGTGTTGCCAGACCCCCTATAGATGCCCTTTTCAGAGTAGGGTCAAGTCAGGGTTGGCAAACCTATGTTTTAATGGAATATCAGCCAGATTCCAGGTCCCGTCCCGCCTGAGGCCTTTTTAGAAGCAGTGAATGAAAGATTCAGAACTTATAAAAACTGTTATAGGTCTTTTAACATCTCATGGGTTACCTTCTCATACTTTATCTTTTCAGTAGACCGTGTACTACATACATACTAACCTAGGAGACGTACTGATTTCTCACATTTCTGTCACTGGGTGGTTTCCTTTATTTCATTTCCAACTTCAGAACAATGAAATCCACCTATTTTAGGAGAAGCAGAAGATAGGCGCTGGTCCTGACTCCCATTTGGATCAGTCCATGAACTTCCTCCGGGGTCTGATAGAAACTCCCAGGTGGAAAGGAACTTTTCACTCCCCTTCTGTGGCGGGAAACTGTGTAGATCGTACATACAACTAAGCTTTGACCAAAAGGGTTTGAACTGCACGGGTCCACTTACACATGGGGTGTTTTCAACCTGAGGGTTCCATTTTCACTCAGTCAAACTTGGGTGTGGGTGGGTTGAATTCACCCAGGTACTGGGGGCCAATTATCAAGTACATGTGGATTTTTTTTTTGAGGCTAGCTGGTTTTTTTTTGATAATATAATATTTTATTTTTACATACATGTGGAGTTTTAAACCACATACACTTGTTTGCCTCAAGGATCGTTTTTGTACCGTGTTTCTTTCTCCCCTCGGTGTCCCATACAATTTCCACCACCATCGTACATGTGGATTTTTGATTGTGCGTAAAGGGGCCTCCCACCCCACCCTCACTGCCAGGTTGATGGAGTTATCTCAGGCTCCGCTGGAGCATGTTTAGGAGCTAATATACTCAGTAATCAATACCACCTTTTGCAGGTGAAAGAAGGGCCTCAAGTATGTGGGTTTTGTCCTTGATTCTCTAGGACGAGGAATTCTCATCCTAAAGAGTAAATCAGTGTCCAGCCGAAATCCCAGCAGCATGGTAGACAGGACAGATGTTGGAGAATTAGGACTTTTGTTTCTAGGCAGCAAACATGTTTAAATTAAGCAACCCTGAGATTGAGGGGAAATGAATAAGAAAGGCCAGTAGGAAAAGGAGAGCGGGAAGCTGGCTGTCCACTCTGCTGGTCCCAGCAAGCCTCGTGGGCTAAGCCTGGTGACCAGTGGGTCTGGCCTCTGTAAATGTGGGCGCGCTCCTGTGTAGCGAGGGAGGTGCAATGACAAGACCAGGCCAGTTAGAAAACTTGATTTCTTCGACTTTTCTCTCCCCACTTTCACTAGCTCCCAAGGAGCCGGGCAAACCCAGGGCCAACAGTCTTGTGGCCCTAGGAAGCCAGCGGGCTTCAGGGCTCTTTCACAAGCAAGTGACAGTTGCCAGACAAACCAGTCTCCCTGGGAGCCCGCAGGCACTCCGAAATCCTCTTCTCCGTCAGAGGAGGGTCGGCTGCTACGATGGTGACGAGGCCAGTGACGAGGAAGAGTTCGATGGTGAAGGAGACTGCATTTCCCTCCCAGGGGCCCTGTCGGGTCCCAGCAGGCCTCTGACAGAGGACGATACCAGGCATGTGTTGAGGACCTCTTCCAAGGCCACAGGCAGCATCCATCGAGAGGAGTATCCCCAGAAAACACTGGTCAGCAAGGCCTCCTCAGTGCCTCTCCTTGGCAGCTCACTGGACTTGGAGGAGAGAGACCCAAGGGGCACAGGAGACCCGCCTTCCCACTCAGCCCACCCACTGGCCTGTGCAGCAGCCCCCCGGAATGGCCCTGGCCGCTCCGGGAGGAAGGAACTGTCAGGGTCAAAGAGTTCCCCCAAGTTAGAATACAGAGTTGCCACAGACCCCCAGAATCTGGTGAAGACAGACAGCACCAGCTCTCCCCTACAGAAGAATGACAGCCTGGGATCTGGACACAAGCCTGTGGCCCGGGTCAGCCCCCACCGCAAGAAGCCTGAGGCTGAGAGCAGGCCGGGAAGCCTGAAGGATGGAGCCGTTGAACCACATGGTCTGGACCTGAGAACCCAGGTCTCTTCCATCAAAGTGACCAGCACGGGTGTTCAGCCAGGTGGCGCTATGGAGCAGGTAATCAGCTTGTTTCTGGTTCCTTGGGCTGTTAAGTGAACGTTGTATGGATGGACCTGGAGTGTGTGGTGGGGCGTGGGGTCTTCTGCCCAGAGGAGAGGAAGATGACGAAGAACTAGCTTTCCGCAGCCATCCATGTCAGTACACTGACTGCTTGAGAGCTTATTTCCCTGGGCAGGTTGGCAGGGGTCACAGTTATTTGGCCCGAAGATCTCTTTACTCTCTTACCTGTGCACAGGGCCTATGGTTGTGATGAAAGGGCCTTGAAGGCCCGTGAAGGCAAACCTGACAAGGTGGCAAGTTATTGAGACTCAACCACAGTGTGTTCAAACAAGAATGATGCTCTCTGAGCCTGAGAGGGGTTAACCGTGATTGTCGCTGGCTGAAGGCTTCCGAGTATCCCAGTTTTTTAAGCTTTCTGCAGGGATTCTGCATGATTGCAGCTGCTCAGACCCTTGTATTACAGGAAAGAAGGGCGGGCCTGCATCCGCTGAGGGACTCACAATGTGCCACATTCAACACAGTGAATATCATTTGTTACTACTGCTTCCAAGCATGTAGAATGGCCCCGAATTACAGAATTGTTTATTTTTTTAGATGTTGATATATCTCCACTCTAGCAAGCAGAGTCAGATAATCTAATATTGTTTATGATCCCCTCCTCAACAAAGTAATTGCTCTCTGAGCTGACTTGCAGCCTGTATTTTATAAACATGTGTGTTCAAGTGCTTTATATAAACATATGTGAAAATAGTCTCTAAAAATATAGTCATAAAAAAATGCACAAGGCCAAAGAGGTTTTTGTTACCCCTATATACAGAATCAAAACACACATCTTTTTCCTCATCCTGTAAAGTGTTTGCTTTCCACTACGCTTGTGTTTAAAACGTAAAGTAACATTCAGCTGGTAGATAAGCTCTTTCGAAAAGTTGTCATCATCAGGGTTTTGATTCATAATAACAGATTAAAGGAAGAGCTTTTTTTTTTTTAAGATTTATATATTCGTACAGAACTGGGGTACAGGCCAGAGATGCGGAGGGTAAGAGGATTCACCAGGGACAGAGTGGGGAGCAGAACAGGCAGGTCGGTAAAGTACACTGCTGAGGGGAGCAGCGGGCCGGTCAGGAGAGGTCTGCCACGCCATGTGGTCACCTCCGGGGCAGGCAGGGATCGAACTCATGCGGAAGCGGCTTTAGCTTCTTGGTGCTGTGCTTTAACCCACTGCGCCACCAGGGAGGGCCCTAAAGAGCTTTTGTAAGTTTGTAGTAGGCCTACTTGTATAAACAAAGTTTAATTTTTCTCATAAAAATTTTTCGCTCCAAACTTGTTTGTTCATGAGAAAGAAAATAGAATGCATTGCCGTAAAATGTTCACTCTTGAGTGTTGGATGCTTTTTTCAAAACGAGTTAGTGGTCTTGTGCTGTTTTATTTTATTTTAATCCCTGTTGTTGCAAGATGGCATTCACAAAGCCGTGTGAAACATGTTCAGTGCCCTTAGCATACTCACGGTGCAAGTAGCACCTGGAGCTCATTCAAAGCACTTGGGCTGTTTTTGTATTACATCTGTGCCGAACAAATAGAAAATACATAACTAGAAAATCACCTGAGTTAGATCCTCTGCAGATTGCCCTCAACAAGTAATTCCCATTTTATAAAACAATTGTTTCTGTAAGAATAGCTCAAAAACGCTATTTTACCTCTCCTCTGCTGCCACCTTTGGGCCACTTTCAGACTCCTTAATTCAGAGGGTAAACTCAAACTAATATGATTTAACTTTTTGGCAAATTTGCTTCAAAAAATTTAATAGTAGGCGTTAGCCAGAAGACAAGGAGATAAAGGAATAGATACTTGGCTAAAGTGAAATCTAAATGTCAGTTCCACATAACCAGATTCCTCCCCTCGCTAAGCACCAAGGGAAGTTGCTTTTCCACTACGGACTCTGCAGTTTATCGATAGGAACAATAATACCTCACATAGGCATACACTTCGGTATGCTACATGCTGTTTTTATGACTTGTTGCACTTATTTAAAACACTGTGCATTAGGGCAAATCTTGTCATCATTTGTATTCACATTTTTCAGTTGTGGTAAATGCCACATAAAGCTTATCCTCTCATAGCAGGAGTGTAAGGGATCAGGAAAAAAGATACACACACACATACAGTAATTGTAATAAAATAAAAAAGAACATCAGCGAACAACTGCAAACCTGAGACGTTCTATGGGGGAGGAGAGGGAACAAGATCAAACGGGACAATGGTGATGGCACACGGGTGAAGTGGTGCAGAGTCCACGGACCTTACAACTGAGATGAAAATGTGCAAAATGAAGAATAGTGTAAAAAATATATAAAAAAGTTACCCTAATCATTTCTGAATATAGTTCGTATATTAATAATCCGCACAGTGGACACCACCATCCACCTGCAGAACTGTCTGCGTCCTGTACAGCAGCTCCGTCCCTGCTAACAACAGCGCCTCCTTTCCCTCCCCACGACCCAGCCCCCACCATTCTGCTTCCCCGCTGGGAACCCGACTGCTCTTGGGGCTTCTCACAGAAGTGGGGTCATCCAGGGTTTGCCCCTCCTGCTAGCTTATTCCTCATAGTATATGTTCTCAAGGTCCATCCACATTGTGGCAGGTATCAGAATTGTTTTCCTTTTCAAGGCTAAATCGTGTGTGTGCACGCCCGCTTTTAGCTCATCCTTTCTCATCCATTGATGAACATGAGTTGCTTTCACATTTCAGCCGTTGTAATTCACGCTGGGTGTACAGTTCCCTCCTTGAGACCTCTTCTCTTGGATTTTTTGGGTCACTACCCACAATACCGTTACATGCGTGGACCGTATGGTTCGGTCTTCAGTGTCTTGAGGATTTGCCAGTTGCCCACTGCGGCCGCGCCAATTTAGTCCCCCAGCACCTCACCGTCCATTTCTCCACATGCTTGCTGCACATGTCCTTTCTGTTTACTGTTTATAATCCCCAGCATAACAGATGTAAAGTGACAGTTCTGTGTCATTTTAATCTGCACGTCCCTAACCATCCCCATTTTAAAATCGAGAAAATGGAAGCTTTGGAAGAGTGACAAGAGCATCTAATTTCTACAGAATCTTTTTTTTTTTAAATAAAAGACTATATGATTTTTTTTAAAGATTTATTTATTTGTGCATACAGAACTGGGGTACAGGCCAGAGGTGCAGGGGTAGTGAGAGTCTTCACCAGAGATAGAGTGGGGAGCAGAACAGGCAGATGGACGAAAATACATAGCTGAGGGGAGCAGCAGGCGGGTAAGGAGAGGTCTGCCGCGCCATGTGGGTCACCACCAGAGAGGCAGATAGGATCGAACTCTGACTGAAGCAGCTGCGGATAGCTTGCAGTGCTGCACCCCAACACACTGTGTCAGAGGGAGGGCCCTAATTTCCACAGAATCTTAAACTGAGAGTCATCATCTAGTCATGGCTTCCAGCCCAGGGTGCTTCCTTCAGATTTCCCCAAACCCGGCCACCTCCTGTCTCAGGGAGCACAACCCTGGGAGGCTCTGACTTGTGCTTGTCTCTGTGCCAGCAGCCTCTGGGAAAGCTGACCATCGGGGATGGGTGTGCCCCGACCGGCTGTGTTCTGCACTGCCCAGATGCTGACCTTCTCCCAGAGAGCCTTCCAGAAGCTGTACTGGAGCTCAGGCAACAGCCCCAGCCAGGTAAGATTGTTTTGTCATTGTGAAGCCTACATGAATATGTACTGTTACATAATCTGTGCTGATAACACAACATACTAGATACTATGTTAATATATAGCTAATATAGAAGAAAACACATAGTTTTTTAGTATCAAATTAATTTGGCTAGAACCATCATCCAAAATACTATCGCATGACTTCGAAATCAAGCTGCATTAAGCGACTTCACTGCTTGTTAGTGGAAATCATTAAAATGTTCATATTTTAAATGTCCAGTGAGGGCGGGCACATGTGTTCCAGTGACTGGACCCCTCACAGGGGCCCTGCCCTCCCCCCAGGGGCCCTAGGCATGGGCCAGCCCTCACCTGCTGACACCTTAGCTACCACCATGGTGGTGAGCCAGCATGCTCACTCGTCAGAACAACCCTACGTGAAAACCCACCCAAGATGACCTCCTCGCACGCATTCCCAAGGTCAAAACCACCCTCAATGACCACGCAGGGGACAGTCCGGCCTCTGATGTCTCTGTGTTGTGATATGAGGCTCTTCACTGTTTTACTGTGATTTCTAGTCTTTCAGTTTGATTCTCTGGCTGACCAAGCCTGTACGAGCAGTCCTTGTTAGCAATTTGACTTTGTGCAAAGTGTTTGTTAAAAGGCTTTTATTTGAGGAAGATAAAGTTACATAGCAGGCTCCTTGATGTCACCTTTCAAAACAACGTTTCGAGGCCAGCCTCTTCCTGGGACATTTTAGGGCCAGTTTTCTTGGGATCCATATTTGGTTTGGAGTGGCAGGGAGAGCCACCCCGGGGTGTGTTTGGTTTTTTCACTGAGCTCAACATCTTTTTAATTTGCTTTCTACTGCAGAAAATTCTTTGCTTGCTCACCACTTGAGGAAGTTCCCTTTCTACCTAGGCCAGGTTTTCTGAATGCTGAGGGGCTGTTCCTTAGAGCAGTGGGTTTGTATGTGGTCAGGTCCCATGTTCCATGTGACACAGATAAGTAGCCCCCACCCCAAGGGCCCCATGCCATGGTGCTTTGCACATCTCATTCTCAAGCTGCGAGTCTGTGGGTACCTTCCTCTCTGTACCCCCAAAGGCTTCCACAGGCAGGAGCCTTGAGGAAGGAGCAGCTGCATGTTCGTAGCCCCTGCAGAGCCCCGTATGGTGCCAGGCACAGGTTCCATTTAATATATGTGGTAAAGGCCATTTACAGCTGGTTAACATATTTAACATAATATATTGGCTGGGATATATTTATAATCGGCTACAGTTCCATCCCTTATGTATAATGTCCACATTGCGAGGCTGGCTGACTGAGTTGTGATAGCGCCGAGGGACCCTCCTCGGGTTCCCTGGCCACAGCTGAAGTATTGGACCCGCCATTCTAAGTAAACGGGTCACTGAAATCTTTTGAGCTTCTATCTTTCATGGAGGTTGCTTTTGTCCTTCCTGGCTAGAACATTCTCTGTGACCAAGTGGCCCTGATGACAGCCTGGCTGATTGCGGCAGCCCTTCTTCCTTTTCTATTGTAAATAGTTTATCTGCTTCCCAGAGGCAAGGAGGTTCATCAGTAGATCCTATTTTTTTAATTTATGTCTTTTACATCATTGTGTATTGCCCATAAAATTCCCACCAGTGAACTTACCACCGTAGTTGCTTGTGCTTTTCTCTTCCCTGTTTTGATCCCTTTTCCTCCCCCTCCCTTGCAGGAGGTCCCTTAAAACATCCCCTATTTTTTTTTCAAAGATTCATTTATGCATACAGAGCTGGGGTACAGGCCAGAGGTGCAGAGGGTGAGAGGATCCACCAGACAGAGTGGGGCGCAGCACAGGCCCACTGACAAGTACACTGTTGTCAGGAGCTGTCTGCTGCGCCCTGTAGATCACCTCTGGGGAGGGGATGGAACTCATGAAGTCTCTTTAGCTTCTTAGTGCTGTGCTTTAACCTGCTGCACCACCATGGAGAGCCCGAAAACATCCCCTGTTTTATATCGGATAGAGGAATATAGGGGGACCAAGTAAGGCATCAGGGAAAAAATAACAAAACAAAACCCAACAGCTCTAAACCAGAGACTTTCTGTAGGGAACAGGGAGGGATCCGAGCGATGCAGGGAAGAGCACAGGGGACTATGGTGACGTGCACTGGTGAGCTGGTGATAGGAATTCTATGGCGACTATGCCTGAGAGGAGAAAGCAAATGTTAAAAAAAGAACAACGGGGTGCAGCAGGTAAACACAGCACTAAGAAGCTAAAGCCACTTGAGCATGTGCTTGATCCCCAGGCCAGAGGTGACCCACATGGCACGGCAGACCTCTCCTGACCCGCCCGCTGCTTCCCTCAGCAGTGGACTTTGTCAGTCGGCCTGTTCTGCTCCCCATTTTGTCTCTGGTGAATCCTCTCACTACCCCTGCACCTCTGGCCTGTACCCCGGTTCTTTATGCATAAATAAATCTTAAAATACAAAGGAACAATGATGTAAAATATAAATTTTTAAAATCCTATTTTAAATAATTGATAAAAGAAGAAACACTTTACTTTTTTTTGAACCAAAAATTCCTCCTCTTTAAGTTTCCAGATTTATATATACAGAGCTCAGGAGTGAAGCATGTGGGCACCTGGGTTCCCAGCCCCAAAACTTGACCTGGGGAGTAACCGGGTCGTGGTCACAGTCAGCTCCATCTGAGCTTGAGCCCCTGCGGGCTTGTTTAGAGGAATCAGATTTTCACTTAACACACCTCAGACCACTGTCTCAGACATAATGTGCATTCACGGTTGTGTGATCTTCCTAAGAACACGTTGTATACTGTCGTGTGTGTGTGTATTTTTTACGCCTTCAGTGAGCTATGTGGATAGACACATACAATAGTCCCAAGAAACTTTAGGGTGAGCTGAGACCCAACGTGCTGTTTGGGACACAGCAGTCAGCTGCCGAGTGAGTGCACTTCAGAGCCACTGAGCTTTCCAGCAATAATTGATACTCTTTTAATAATTAATTCTCTTTCTTAGAAACCAGAAAGAGCAGGCCTTCCAAGGCTGTTAGCAGAGTTGTCAAAAAATGGTCAGAGAAAAGTGCTGAAGCAGTACAGAGCTTATAAACCCTTTCCTTGTCACTAAATTTTTAAATAACTGTTAGAAGATGAGTACATGTTTATGATAACAGTTTAAGAAACAAGAGTTGAAAGGAGGAAAAAAAAAAGTAAGAATCCTAGTTCCAGGGAAAATGTCTGCTAACAGTTCAGTACTCCTGCAGCCTGTGGGTGAGTGTGGGACGAGGAATGCAGCCATCTTCGACCTGTGCTTTTTTCCTTCCCCCCAAAAGTCACTTTATGGTGATCCCAGTCCCTAGAACCTCTTTCACCTCATGATCCACAGAGATACACTTGAGCAGCCTGCTGAGGTGAGCAGGCCCTGCCAGGCTTGGTGATGGACACGGCCTGACAGGCCATCTGTGCTCCATGCCACCTGGGTGCCCCTGTCACCTGCTCTGGCTGGGAAGTTGTGGCCGATGCCCCATGTCCGTCTGTGCCAGTCAAGCCTGCTGTGCCTTCCACCTCCATGTGCCACAGGCAGCACTTCCCCACTGGGGGCGTTTGAGGGGTTTCCGAGTGGAGGCTTACTCTGGAAGGTGACATCAGGGCCTGTCTCGGCACGATTTCATCTCCCCCAGGTAAGAGCCATTTAAGTCATATACTTGGCAATACAGACGGACTACTAACAAGAACTGCCCCTTGGCAAATCTGGACCCAAAAGGCAGACATAAAATCCCCTCCTTTTTTGTCTGATGCCTGTGACCCCTCCCCGTCCCCCCTCCCCCCCAGTAGTTGGCACCAGCAGAAGCAGAAACGTTGAGCTGAGGACAGGAGCCCGAGGCTCTGGATCTGCGCCTGCCACGGGGCCTGGGAGAGTCTCCAGTCTTGCAGAGCACAGTCTCCTGGGGTGTCAACGCTGGTGCCGTGCACTTGGGGCCTGCAGAGCCCTGCTGTGCAGCCAGGCCCGGCTTTGAGCCAGAGCCCAGGGCCCCTGCTCACTTGCCACTGTGCCTGGCTGCCGCCTTCGCAGGTGGGTCCAGGACCCACCTCACAGCGCTGGAAGAAAATGAATGGGTGGACAGCTGAGCGCAGTGCAATGTGTGGCTCATTTGTTGCTTACTGGCGTAGGAGCGAGAGGGAAAATCCTGGTGCAATAGAGGTGACTAGTGTGGGAGATGGGGAGTGGCTGAGTTTGGAGAAGGCGAGCTTTCATTGTGACCAAGTTATTCACTCCGCCCGGCCCATAATGCCTAAGGGTGAATCCTAACTATCTTCCTTTTCTTTAAGCCTGTTTGGGCCACCAGAGCAAGATGCCAGTGACCAGGAGGGCAGATTAGACTCAGTCCTCAAGGCAGCACCCCTCCAAAGCCCACCCTGTGGATGCACCCCCCAGCCCCGACAGGTGCCTCTGAGCCTCCAGGCTCGCCCTTCCCACTCTGCTTTCATTCCATTTTCTTCCTCCTCGTCACTGCCAGAGCAGCGCTCTTCCAGAAGCCCACTCAGTCCCGTCCTCTCTGTGAAGGGCTCTGGCCTCTGGACTTGAAGTCAGAGCCCAGCCTCAGTGTGGCCGGACAGGTGTAGCGCTTGGGGTGTTTCCCTGCACCAAGCCGGAAGCCCCGGAAGAGCACTGCTCGGGCGGTTGGGACACTCTGCTGAGTAGCTGACAACCCACAGCGAGAGGTTCGCCCCCAGCAGCAAGCTCGGAGGCGAAGCTGAAGCCGCAGCAGCCTGATGCCAGTGGCATTTACCGACAGAATGGATGGATGTCTGGTGTCCCCCATCCTTAAAATAGCCCAAAGAAAGGGAAAAGGGCAGAAACAAGGTTTCATTCTGCCACTCAGTCTATTTTGGAGCCTCTAAAGCAGGCTGCTGTCGGTCAGATGTGAATGCTCTGTAATTTTAGGGATTAAACGGAGGCACAGAGGCCTCCATTTAGGTTGTGGAATAGTCTGAAAAGGTCAAATGTTGAGATTGTTGACCATTTCCTTTTAATTGAGAGCTTTTCTATTTTCTCCCATCGCCCCCCACCCCCACCCCTCCTTTTATTTACAATCTCTACACAGAGCTGAACGGCTCTGTCCCGAAGGGGACGGCTCGCCTTGACCCCAGCAAGACCTCAAGGGACACAAGTCAGGCCGGGAGGCCTGAGAACCCTGGAGGACCAGTGCCGCCCCCCAGGGCCCCCAAGTCTCAGGACAGCTCTCGGGACAGTGAGGGGTGCAGCCCGTCCCCGAGGAAGGCAGCCACGGCCCAGACTGACTTCGGCAAGACTCCAGCGGCTGCAGAGGCCAGCTTCCCTGGCAGCGGCAGGCAGGCGGCTGCCCACGGGGGAACAGGACCTGAGGCAGAGGCAGCCGCTCCGGCCAGCGCCCTCCCGGCACCAGACCTCCCGCCCCAGGAGGGGCGACCTAACCACAGCAAGGCCTCACACCCCACAGGCATCCTCATACCTGGCAACTCCCCTCAGTCTGCTCTGCCCAAGGGAACAGGCCCCATAGCCCAGATGGACCCACAGCCTGGCCCCGCCCTGCTGCCCCCAACGGACAAGGCCCAGGGTGGGTGTGGCAGTCAGTCGGGTCACTGCTGCCCCCCAAAGAGTGGCAGGAGCCCCGGGGCTGCTGACAGACTCATCGAGGACGTGGATGCTTCTGAGGCAAGACTCCCATCCCCTCAGAAAGGGGGCCCGGCCCTTCTGGAGGGCGCTCCTCAGGGTCAGCCTCCAGCGGGAGGCGGGAGTTCCTGCGAGGCCCCGCCCGTCACAGGGAGCCAGACCCCCTCCCCAAGGAGGGAGTGGCCCAGCAGCCCGGGTTCCCCACAGTGGACCTCCCAACCTTCAGTACTGGATTCAGTTCATCCCGATAAGCACCTTACTGTGAATAAAAACTTCCTCAGCAACTACTCTAGAAACTTCAGCAATTTCCACAAAGACAGCATCTCCCCGCCAGGCCTCGGTGACAGCGCAGGGCCGCCCCTCTCGTCCATGTACGGAGATGCGGAGGACTCGTCTTCAGACCCCGAGTCACTCACTGAAGCGCCACGCGCTTCCGCCAGGGACCACCTGTCGCCGCCTCCTTCCCGTGAGTCGTCTTACAAGGGTGATACTACAGAGTCTGAGGAGGAGCAAATTGAAATTTGTTCCACAAACGGCGCCCCCAGCCCACCCCTGACTCCTGCGCCCGCCCAGGCTGCACCCTGTGCTGCTTTAGCCAAAGTTCTGCCCTTGGAGCACAGCCCTCGGAGTGAAGCTCTGGCAGGCCCCTGTGAGAGGACGTCCTTCCTGCCTGGACCCTCGGACCCCCCCACCCCCAACTCCTCCCAGCCGTTTTCTCACCTGGACGTAAGTGCCCATGAGCACGTGGACACAAGGATTTCGCAGAACCACAGGCCCTCGTGTGCAGGAGACACCATGGAAGGCACCGCCACCTCCGTGGATGGCAGCCGGCCACCTCCAGCCTCCCGGTGTCTCCACAACGCCCCCGTCACTCTTGGCTCTCTTCAGGTGGTCAACGGTTTGGAACATGAGCTGCTAAGTCACAAAACCCCAACTAAAACACAAGGAGCAGGTGTTCACACCAGCGAGAACCTGGCCTCCCTTGTCATGGATGTCCCTAAGAACGGAGACTCCATTCTGGCCAGTCTGCACATCTCAGAAAGTCAAGACCTGGATGACTTGCTTCCGAAACCGAAAATGATCCCCAAGAGGCCCATCATGGCCTGGTTTAAAGAAATAAATAAAAATAGTCAAAGCCCACATCTGCAGAACAAAACGGAAAAGGAGCCCACCAGAAGCCCTGACTCCAGGAGTCCGGTGATGAGCTCGAGCCACAGAAAGGGGGTGGCCGTGGCTGAGAGTCCTCCACAGCTGAAACTGAATCTTGAAAATAAAGACCCACCTAAAAAGAATTCAGTGGAGACTCTCTTAAATAACTGTCAGAAGCCCAAATCCGGTCCTAAGCTGAAGAAACTGAGCATCAAAAGCAAAAGCAAAGTCAGTGCCGAGGCCCCTGCTGCCACCACGGCCAAGGCTGTGGGGACGGACCCCAAGAATTCCCTTCTCTCACCCCAGAACTCCCACAGAATGCTGCCCCGGGGGGCGTCACCACGGTTCCAAATAGCTGACCATGAGGGTCCCAACACAAATACCCCACCTCCCCTCAAGACCCCCCAGTGTAAGCGGGAGAGCAGGACGCCCCTGGCCACTGCAGGGTCACTGAAGGCCTCGGTGTCAGACACAAGCATCAGGACATTTACTTCACCTCTGACCTCCCCCAAGACTCCTCCTGAGCAAGGTACGTGCAGCAGCTTCTCCACGGCGGGCCACTCAGAACCTGATAGAGGTTGCCCAGTCGCCCCCAAGCTTCCTAAGTGTGGCTCAGAGAGCAAGGTACCCTCTGTGGCCTCGGGGACCAATCATGTGGCCCCAAGGAGTAGCGCATCCCCAGCAGCGAGCAAGCAGGACACCCCACCTCCGGAGCACAGCGAGCGGTGTGCATCCAGCCAAGCCACGCCAAAAGCGGCCCAAGCTGGGGTGACTGGCAACAAAGAAAGCAAAATAATTGCCAGTGATCTCCTGGAAAGGACCCACCAGCTGAAAATAATAGAGATTTCTTCAGAAAGAATGCCAAAGAATGCGTCTGGTGACAAACTAGCAGAAAGTGACAGGCAGGGAGGGTCCCCGGCCCAGAGCAGCTGTCAGGAGAAGCGTGAGTTCAGACCCTGTCACCAGACTGTGGGGCCCAGTGCGCGTCAGCCAGCACCCCCATCTCGCGCCTCCCAGGGGGAGCCGGAGATGCAACCAGCTCTCAGCGTGGCAAAGCTGGTCTCCTCCTCCTCCTCGTCCCCGCTGCTGCCCACTAAAAAGGCAGAGGCCTCCCAAGGGAAGTCAAAGCCGCCAGACTCCCTGAACGGCATCCCGACAGGCCCCACGCTGGATGACCACCCCTACTTCACACCCAGGCCTGCGACCAGGACCTACTCCATGCCTGCCCAATTCTCCAGCCATTTTGGACGGGAGGCTCATTCCCTACACATCCCAGGTCGCTCACCTCGAGACAGCCAGAGCCCGGGCCCCAGCCTGGAGGCCAGGGTGCCCAGGGGCAGTGTTCTTGGCCTGGCCAATGGCCAGGGCATCTACAGTGTCAAGCCCCTGCAGGAGAGGAGCCTTCCTGCAGCAGAGCCAGGGGAGGCCCTTTCAGGGCAGGAAATGAGCTGCCTCATCCCTGACAAGGTCAGAGTCACCAGAAGACATTACTACTCTGAGCAGAACTGGCCCCACGAATCTACCTCATTTTTCTCTGTCAAGCAGAGGATCAAGTCTTTTGAGAACCTGGCCAATTCTGACCGGCCCACAGCCAAGTCCGGGGGCTCCCCTTTTTTGTCAGTAAGCTCCAAACCTCCCCTTGGCAGACGATCATCTGGCAGTGTGACTTTGGGGAGCCATCAAGGCGACCCGACAATGAGGTTGCTGAGACGCAGCCTGAGTTCCTGCAGCGAAAGCCAAAGTGAAGCCAGCACCCTCATCCCCCAGATGACCAAGTCCCCATCCAGCATGACGTTGATGGGCTCCCGGCAGGCTCTGCCTGAGGCCAGTAGCAAGGCCCCAGACACAGACCCGAAGAAAACCCCTAGTCCTTCTGGAATTCCCACCCCAACCCTGACCCCAGCCTCTTCCACCAGGAGGATTAAGTCCTCGGTGCGCCACGCCCAGCCCTCTCCCTTGTCCCGCTCGAAGCTGCAGGAGCTGAGAGCCCTCAGCATGCCCGACCTCGACAAGCTCTGCAGTGAGGACTTCTCAGCGGGACCGACGGCCGTGCTCTTCAAGACGGAGCTGGAAATCATCCCCAGGAAGACGCCTGGCTCCCCTGCTGAAGGCCCCATTGAGTCCACCGCCCTTTCATGTCCTGAGAAAGGAGGGGACAGGGTCTGTCCTGGAGGAAGCAGCTTTAAAGCCAGTGAGCCTGGGACACTGCGTTCAGCCCACCACGTGGGTGAAGTCACCCCAGGTCTGCCTGCTGCAAAAAGCTGGTCAGTTAAGTAAGTACCTGCCCTTGTTCCTTCTGTGTAAATCAGCTTTGACTGTTTTAATTTTAGAGGCGTGCAGAGGTCCGGGACCATTGTCATGTACCCCACTCCCGGCAGCATCTTCCCAACCGCCGTCCACAGCAACAAATTGGTATCGGAACAGCTGACTGAATTACACCCTTGACTCAAATTTCAGAGACTAGATTCCACTGATGCCCTTCCCTACTCCAGGAGCCCATGCGGGACACCTGCTTGCATATATGCCCCCCGTTTTCATGTTATTATTGAAAAGTGCAGGTGCCAGCAGGGAAGTGACCAGTGTGGGCTGAAAGGACTTCTGTAGCAAAAGCATGAGAGGTGGGGAGGCAGGGAGCTCCTCTTTTTGTTTTAGGCGAAATTTGGGCCTCTAAAGATGAATGGCATTAAAAAGGACATTTCTAACAAAGTATTCCAGCTGATTCCAAATGTTTTTTAATGTGAGAAGTTTTGTTAAATTCATCCCCTAACATCTTCAAAGGATCCCACTAAAAATAGCTGCGTATAGTAGAAATGAGATGATTTTAAATGCGCCTTTACTAAATGGAGCTGCCCTTTCCCTTTGTTCTCGAAATGTGCTTGTATTATTTAGTTTGGATCAACTTCTAGTCTCAGCGGGAGACCAGCAGAGATTACAGTCGGTTCTGTCATCGGTGGGGTCAAAAGCGACTATCCTCACTCTCATGCAGGAGGCAAAAGCGCAATCAGAGGTGAGTCACGGAGAACGCGGGCGTCCCTGCTGCGAGCTTCACAGCTTAGTCTGGCCTTTGTCTTGCCTGGAGCTTGTTCCAGAAGTTAGGCCTTCTGTGGGAGCCTCAAAACAGAACTGGGCATCTTGGAGAGTAATCCCAAGTACCTCTGTCCGCCTCAGTGGACATTCAGAGCCACCTGCCGGGAAACAGGGTGGCAGACTGTCCACCCCAGATCTAAGAGATGCTGGATGACGTGGATGTAACAATTAACAAAAGCAACCAGGGGTTCATATCTACGTTACTTTCCCAAAAATTTTTGCAGATTTGAACCTGATGAATATTTTAGAGAAAAAACAAACAGTATTAAAATACATATTTATTTATGCATACAAGAGCTGGGGTACAGGCCAGAGGTGTGGGATATGAGGGAGCTCACCGCTGACAGTGGGGAGCAAAACAGTCACATGGACTGAAATACACTGAGGGGAGCAGTGGGTGAGACAGGAGAGGTCTGCTGAGACTTAACCCCTTGTGCCACCAGGGAGGCCCCAAACACCACGACACGGAGTCACAGCAGAACATACTCGCTCTTGGGCCACAAGAAAGAGACTAGTTTTTCTTCGTTTTTGTTTTTCACTAGAATAAAGATGATGTCTGTTTCATCGTCTTGAATAAAAAAGAAGGCTCAGGTCTGGGATTCAGTGTGGCAGGAGGGACAGATGCGGAGCCCAAACCTGTGGTGAGTGACATCAAAATGCTCTTGCGAAAGACTGCCAGTTTGTTTCCTGCCACCAAAAGAAATGAGCGCGTTTTCACTCACCTCTGCTCATGAAATTACTTTTCCCCAAAAAATTCCCCCTTAAATTTTCCACCACTTAAACGCAAAGGCCTTTAAGATCATTAGGAACCTAGGCTGCGTCTGTGCAGCCCAGAGAGGCCAGACATATTACATACTAGGCAGAAGATTAAAAATGTCAGGTGTTGCAGCTGACAGTTGTCATTCTGCACACTGAATACGTTTTTGCTAAACCAAATAGTTTCATGATTTAAAAAAACTTGCCATTAGAAAATTCTTCGCTACACATTAGCAATTACTCTCTCACCTTAACTGGAGGTCATAAATGAGCTCTTGTCCTCTTTGTCTCAGGTTCACAGGGTGTTTTCTCAGGGGGCAGCATCTCAGGAAGGGACTGTGAACAGAGGAAATCTCCTCCTGTCAGTCAATGGCACCTCGCTGGCTGGTTTAGCCCATGGGGACATCCTGAAGATTCTGCACCAGGCTCAGCTGCACAAAGATGTCCTCGTGGTCATCAAGAAGGGGAATGATCAGCCCACAACCAAGCAGGAACCTCCCCCCACCAATATGAAGAGCGCACTGTCCAGGAAAACCACCCCACTGGAGACTGGACCAGGTGAGACACCAGTTCATGGATCAGCAGAGTGAGCAGCCTCACAACAGAACATCCTGTCACCAGAGTCCCAACTCAGGTGTAGTTTGGTGTTTATGGATGCTTTTAGCAAAAGTAGGGTTACATAAGACACCCCCCACACACACAAAAGGTACTTTACACTGTTGAGGTATAAGAGACATGAGGAATTGTAGTCTTTCCTGCAGTGAAGGACAATACAGAAATGCAGAAGCAAATGTGTTCAAAACAGCGCCTGCACACTGCTTTGGGTACCCTCGGCGCCGCTGTAGCGCCCTCCTCATGCCCTGCCTGCTGGGAGGGCCCTTTGGCTTCTTCCTGACAGTCAAGGTAGTGCTTCTCAACTTGACTTCCTGTGGTTTGGGCTATTTGTAGTGACTTTGCTGAAAAATGAGAATCTTCTCATCCAGATGCCTCAACAGAGCTGGCAGGATCCTGTTTCCCTTTACTCTGCTGTCTCACCTGCACTCTCTGGGAAACCTGAAGCCCTCCCCATGAGGGAAAACACCTTACTCATGGAACAGTTAACGCTCACCTTGGTCTAGCACTACCATTTGCAAGCACTGCTGGCATTTGTAACAAGTACCTTTGAGGCATCTTGAATTCTATGCACATGGAGAGCTTATTTGTTCAACCCAGAGCACGCAGCTCAGTAAGTCGGGAACCATGGTAAGGGGGTTGGGGGCGGAACATCTTTTTAAGGTTCCAGCGGCTCTACTTGACAGTCCTATACAGGGGCGGTTTCCACGGTACCATCCTTTCTTGAAGGGCCTACTTTAAACCAGGAAAATAGCCTAGCCTCCTTACACTGGAAGGTGGTAACATGTTTCATCGTCTTGAATAAAAAAGAAGGCTCAGGTCTGGGATTCAGTGTGGCAGGAAGCAGGGAAGACGGGCAGGCTTGGCTTCCACCCCAAGTGTACAGTTTAATCTATTTGGGGTTGTTCCTTTGCCCCCCCCCCCATCACAAAAGTGCACCCTTCAAGGCAAATTTACATTCCCCACACTCCAAGTTGGCTAGGAAGCAGGCATCTCAGTGGTGTCCCTCCCTAAGTGGAGCAATGAAGGCAGCTAGTGTGTGCAAACAGACGTGACCTGAGGCAGTGCCCCTCATGGGATCTTGTGTGGCCCATCAGGAAGGAAGCTCGCGGGGGATCCATGACCACGGTCTCACCTTAGTCCTGGCAATTGGGTGCTGCAGGTTTTCAGTACCAGTCTGTGATGCTCTGCTGTCAGCAGGCAACAGGAAATCAAACTTAGTTCCCCAGGTGTGACTTTAGTCCTCACTGAGACGTGCACCACAGGCATGTGGGGCTTGATGGGAACAGTTCGGCTTCAGCGGATTTTCTGCTGGGGTGTAAAAGCCTTCCCCATGGTTGCAGACAGTTAAGCTTGAAAGGGCCCGAGGGCAGGAATACAGCCAGGGGTCGTATCTGCTCCCCACCGGAAGACCAACCTCATCACTGGACTGGGGGTCCGGGGCAGGTGATGAGAATCCCTACTCCGCCACCACCACCTTCACGAACATCATTTCCACAGGGAGAAGCGTGGCTGCTCATGATGCTGTGTGCGTTGAAGTGCTGAAGACGCCTGCTGGGCTGGGCCTGAGTCTAGACGGAGGAAAGTCGTCTATGTCTGGACATGGGCCCCTGTTCATCAAGAGAGTATACAAAGGTAACGTCCTGGAAACCCGTTAGTGATGCCATCAGAATTGCCAGTCAGGGGTCCTTAACTTAGCCAAGAAACACTGGTGTGTGTGAGATTGTTCATGCACTTTAAAGTGCGGCATAACCACCCCCAAAAGTTTGTGGGTGACTACAACTAGGGTTGTGCATAGTACAGGCCTAAATCAACATGCAGACTATTGCTGAGTGATGTCTAGAGTCCCAGTACCCCCAGCCAGGAAAACCTCCTACCTGTTAACTGGATAGCTAAGGCAAAATGAAGCACCTCAACTGTGCATTCACTCATAGTGAGAGCTCTCAGACACTACAGTATGCAAGGAAGCCCACTGCCGTCAGATCCAATAAACAGGAAAAGGCATTAAAAAAAAAAGGCAAGAAAATTACTCATAAGTGAGTTCAACACAGTAGTCACAAGGAGCAGGTAAATAAATACATTAAAAGAAAGGAGTGATAAAGCCAGTTCCTCAGTCTAATACAGAAAATTTCTGAACAAAAAATATGTCATGTTATTAGTAACCGTATACAGGTAAAACTAGAGTTGTTACAGCAGTGTGTGAGGGCTGCTTTTAATATGTTTCTGACCATCAGAGATACACTGTGCCAAGGTAAACAACATAAGCCTAATTCCAAAAAAACCTGAGAATCATATGTTAACCCAGGATAGTTTCACCAAGATAGCCAAATTCACAGCTATACAGAAATCAGTAACTTCCTGTATGTATAAAATAACCATTATTCAAAATACAGGACAGGCCTAAATCAGGAGTCAAAAAATCACTAACAGAGAAGTGATTGCCTAGATGGTATCTGCAATGTATTTAATCAAAAGGCGATGGCCAGAATATAGAAATGCAACTTTTGACTCTCCCAAAACTTAACTACAGGTAGCTGACATTGACCAGAAACTTACCAATAACAAGCAGTCAGGAAATATTTTCTTATATATGTACACATGTATATGTAATATACTGGCCACAAGAGAAAACACTTTCATGCTGCTGTCCTATATTGAGCAGTACCATAAGTATGTTGTCTAAGAAAATCTGTACGTAGACAGTTGTTCAAAGGCCAGCTGTAAAAATGAGAATGAATAGAAAAACAGGAAGAGGTGAGGTGCTTAAAGTTAGAGAGGAAAGGGCAGCATTCATACTTTCTGGTGCAAGTATACATATTATCTGTTCAGGGTAAAATTTGGCAGTTCTTGCTAAAATGAAAAATATGAAAGTTTCTATGTCCAGCAGAGGTAAAATACATACTTCCTTCTTGAATTGCTGTCTAGTTATCCCTTTATGTGAGATTCTAAGCACAACAACTATTAAAAAACTGGAAAGTTTCTAACAAAAACTAAGACCTTGTGGGGGGAAGGCAGAGAAGTTTTCTATGATATCAATATATACAGACTTACCTGTTGTGGCCCCAATTAACAATGGTTTAAGCGAGCGAGGTTTTTCATGTAAAAGCCTCTGGTCCGCAAGGCACTGAGTGGTTCATCAGACCCAGCCTCGTCAGCAACCCTGTGATAACAAGACAGACATTAACAGTTTGCAGGTGAGGAAAATGAAGTTTAGAAACTTGCCTGAAGCACACACTTGACACCAAAATCCTTTGACTGCTACTCAGTATATTTCCCACTACCTCATGACCCTTCCAACCTGTCAACGAGTATCTCTGACAATCACAAGCTGAGTCCTGCATTTATTAACTGTTTGAATTTTACCAACTGATTTTCTGTGCCCAACCTCTTTATTATTAGTGATTTGTAGTTCTTTATCTGATCTACATAGTAATAACTACTGATTAGATACCTTGAAAATCCTTCCCTAATCAGGTGCTTATTTTTAGTGGGAGGTGTTACAGATTGAAGTTTTAGTTCAATTTTGGAGTATATGCATTGTGTGTCTCGTTTAACAAGTATTTCACATCCTAAGAATATAGGCTTTTTAAAGTTTACTTGGGATTGACTTGAATACTGTGCAAGTGCCACCATATTCTGTCTTTATTCCCCCAGGAGGTGCCGCTGAACAAGCAGGAACAATAGAAGCTGGAGATGAAATTCTTGCCATTAACGGGAAGCCCCTGGTTGGGCTCCTGCACTTCGATGCCTGGAATATCATGAAGTCAGTCCCAGAGGGACCCGTGCAGCTAGTCATCAGAAAGCACAGGAATTCTTCGTGAACCACGTACCAGTACTTAACACTTGCTGTAGAGCTTGTTATGTTTCTGTTTCCTTATTACTTTAGCAGATCAGAATGACTTTTTTAATTGATAGGTTCCTGAAATAACAAACACTGCTATCGGCAAGGACTCAAAATCTCCAAGTTTTTACTTAAACCTGAGCTGACTTACTGTGCGTGCAACAGCAATGGAGCTGCCCTCTGGAAGCCTTCTGCCTGCCTGGGCTGGAAGGGTTCCCTTTGTTCCAGTGCCTGCCCCGCCTTCGTGTTCACGGGTGGGGATAAAGCTGTGGCCTGCCCTTCTTCTGAAGCATTTAGCCAGACCTTCGCATCCCTTTGCCACCTCTCCACACACCCAATCCTGGCAGCCAGGGAGCTAACAGTGTCTGAGGGGCAACACAAATGGACTATATAGTTTTATATAATTTTGTAAGTAAAGAATAAAATGCTTTCAGGCACATTCTATGAAAGGAAGACTTGTAGGTCTGTATGTTACCCTGAAAAGAAAGTGACACTTTTAAACGATGACCTAATGGTTAGGCTGAGCTCAGGAATTATCCGAAAATGAAAAAGTAAACTACAGAAAGGTATTTTTTAGTGAGTATAATGTGCAACATATAGATGCAGAGTTCAACTCAGTAGGTTATTGATCGCTGTGAAGTGCGCTCATGACCTGAAAGTGTAAGTCGTAAGGCTGTTGTACAGAAATGCAGTTCTGATAAACTGTACTAAAATAACTATGAGCTTTGCTGCTTAGAATGAGCAGAAAGTTTCAGCTCTGAAAGCACCTTGCATCTAGCTGGGAACCTGTCTTGAGTACTGCTTGAATTCAAGACTGGTCTACACAAAAGCAGGCAAAATACCACAGTCACTGGGTTTCCATTTCAATATTCAGTACTCTCCAACCACAGATTTAAATTTTTTAGAAATCAAGTATCTTTGGATTTTTAGACATATGCGTTTATTTACAATTTAAACCAAGATGTAAAATAATCCTTTTAAGGGTTTTTTTTTTTTTTGGTGGGTGGTTTTTTGCCCCCTTTCCCCCTTTACCAGTAAGCTTAAGAAAGATTATGCATCAAATCTCTTTTCCTTACCTGACTGTAACAGCATAGCTCTATAGTGACTGAAGTCATTGCTGTTTTTGCTTTCCTGTTTGCAATTCTCTCCTTCTGCCAAACATGTTTCTCTGCAGCGGACTGTTGTGACTCACACTGCTTGTGAAAATCATCCCAGCTGCTCTCTTTGGGAAGCACATGCTTCTTCACAGTAGCTATTCCGATTCGATGTGCTGATCGTTGGCTTTTCTCTCCCCACACTATACCTTCTTGTCCTACTCTAAACCATCAACAGTTTCAGTTGCCAAACTGTACTAAGAAGAAAATGGAGAACAGGGAGTGCCTCTTTCAAGGGAAAGGAGCAGAACTGTGGTTACAACCCAAGTCCTCAGTAGGCACAGGCCAGCTGAGCCCTGAGAATAAGGGTAAGACTGCATACCAGCGCATGATGCTGCTAAGGTTTTATGTTGGAGATTTCTTTAACCTACAGTTTGGGTCTATCTATAGCTTAGATTAAAGAACTGAGGTCATTAGGCCCCTGATCATGGAGGTGCTTTGTACATCATGTTTCTAAATGATCAATCCCAGTAAACCTCTGTGGAATTTGGCCCAGAGGCGTCTCAGATGGGAGTAAAATATCTAGCTGGTGTGATCCCAGATTTCTCATATTTCACAGGCTTATATAAAAGAGAATGTAGTACAGACATTAGCTAGAAAGACCTGATTCATTTAGCTTCTACTTTTCACTACATTTGCAAGTAGGATACTATAGGAAGTCAGTGCAAGGTGCATGCTAGGTTGTTTTTAATTCTTTGGGGTCAGTTTCTGCTTTCTTGCTTAGATAACAAAACACTATTGAAAGTCAACACCAACAATTGTTTTTTGCCTCCACTCTTCCAGCTGTGCCTACTAGTAAGAAATAATACAGTCCGCGTGGACAGGTATTTTTAGAGGAGACCATTCTCACTCCACATTACTCTTAAGAGTCCATAATCCTCAGAGTGCAAGAGTTTAATGATCCAGAGGTCTACCGTGCTAAAATCAGCCATTTCTACTAGATCTGCCAGAAGGGATCCCCGGCATACTGTTGGAATTTAAAGGAGGAAGCAAAAGCTAAACTGTCACTTACCCTAAGATAAAAAAGCTATTTATTTGTCTTCAGTGTTCAAGGCATGACTAGTATATCTAATTAGTCTAATTCCCACACTTCCTGAAGTGAACACTAAATGTATTGTTCTACTAAAGCTTACATTGTTTGGTTTATTAACTGGTCAGTCATTCACAATAAGCTATGAGGGTAAGTATGTGTTATACATGTAAACCATAGTTGCAAGGATCTATACCATGAAGGTGGAAGTAGCCTGGATTTCATTTCTGTCTTCCCATAAACATCTCATTTACCTTTATGGTTGACTTAATTGGCACCACACCTGTTGTATGATATTATACATTATCCTTTATTTATGTAATATAAAATGCCTTATATATTAAAGAGTAAGTGCAATAATATGAAATAGCCTGTACATTTTAAAAATGTTGTCGCCAAGTTATGTAAATCCACATCTCTGTAAACAACCTTTTTTAAGTAATTTTAAAAAAAATAAACACTCTGCTTACTACTTGTCTTCATGTTTTTTTCTCTTTAGTTCTGCATCTAAAGAACAACTTTTTAAAATACCAACATAAATGTTTATTACTACCTGAATGGGTGACAGGTCAAGGCAACAGAACTCAAATCAACTACTTCTTTCCTTTGCCACACTCAAACTCCAATACAACCCAAAACTGTTCCACTCTGGAATCTTAAGATCAGTCATCCCAAGCTCTTAACAACTTCCTGACCTGGCTCTTCCCCTGCCCTCCTTATTCTCACTACTACTTACTCAATTTCAAAGAAACTTCCAGATTCCTTCACAACTGTCCATTTTCTCCCCACTCAGGACCTCTGCTCTTTCTCTACTCATACTAGACCCGTGGTACAGCACAAACCCTGTCCCTCACTCCAGCTAATCCTAAGTGCTTTCAACCCAGAATAGGTTCCCAGAATCCTATTCTTAGAGAAAACCACACAAAACAATGCTATAAACTGTTTCCAATCTCAACTGGACTCTCGTACTTGGCACCTGTTTCCTGTTTGAGTTTTTTCTCATTCTTTCTTAAGTACTAGATTTCTTCATTTTTCTCACTGCACCTACTCATTCACCTTTTCCAAATGTGGACCCTATTTCAGAGTGAAAAAGCATCTAATTTATTTAGGTGCTTTCATGTTTTTTCTTTTAATTTTTTTTTTTAGCATCCTTCTTCACTTTGTGCATATTTTTCATCTTGATTGTAATCCCTGTGGACTTACCACTCCAGTTTTGATCCCAATTGTTTTCATTTTTACAATTGCTTCCCCCACCCCCAATCCCTTACATGCCTGCTATGAGTGAAATCATCCTTTTCTTTCTGGCTTACTTCACTAAATAAGCATGATCCCTCCCAGCTCCAACCATGTTGCTGCAAAAGTCATTAGGCTCTTTCAGTTTTAAGACAGACACGGACTTAGAGCTGCTTGAGGAAGAGGACAAAGTAGCATCTCTCAGAAACCCAAGAATAGGATCTGGCCTCTGAATGACCCCAGAGAATACAGAACTCCAGAATTTATAGATTCCACTGCTATTTGAGGGTCTGTTTCTACACCACCAGTTCTCTCTCCACCAGCTAGCAGCCTTAAACCTAACTTCACACCAGTAGACCCTCCCACGAATGCGTCTTCCTCGTATGTTGGCCCGCACTCTATCTCAGAATTTCTGTAGACAAGCAAGCTTGCTGCCCACAAAATTTTCCATATATACTTTCAAATGATTCTGAAATGCTAAGTCCACCCCAATGTGGGTAGGGTTTTTTTTGCTAGAAGACATTGTGCTTGTCTACATATAACTCTGCTCTAAAATCTACTGAAATAAATTCAAAAAGGAAACACTCAAGTTTGTTGAAGACTACATACCATATACAGTATAAACTAAAACTAAACTAAAGCAGAACAATGGAAAGGGATACAATTTTCTGAATGAAAAAAGCAAAGGTGGTGTGATATGGAATAAGAGTTCTAAAGAATGACCCAAACCCTTAATTTGGAAAAAGGGTATTATAAGAAAAGACAATGTTAGGATAAAAAAGAAAAAACGTGGGAGATGTCAACACTTAGTTTTGCAAAGCCTTCATCAAACTCTAATTCAAACTCCAGATCTTTCTCATTTAAATCAGAATACACACTAAAAGGATATTCAGGCCCTCCCTGGTGGCGCAGCGGATTAAAGCACAGCACTAAGAAGCTTAAGCCACTTCTGCATGAGTTTGATCCCTGCCTGCCCTGGAGGAGATCCACATGGCCTGGCAAACCTCTCCTGACCAGCCCGCTGCTCCCCTCAGCAGTGTACTTTGTCGATCTGCCTGTTCTGCTCCCCTCTGTCCCTGGTGAATCCTCTCACCCTCCGCATCTCTGGCCTGTACCCCAGTTCTGTATGAATAAATAAATCTTTAAAAAAAAAAAGATTTATAAAAGGATATTCAATGTTGTTTCTGTTGTATAACATTGAGGAGGTTATTAGCCAATATATTAGACCAAAGTGTAAACAAAGAAGTATAAACAATGGAAAGAAACAAAAATACCATACTTACACATGATACAGTTGGTACACAAATTCATCAACATTAAAATTTTAGAATTGTAAGGTGGCTATCAAAAATAATTCACCAAAACAACAGCTTTCCTATTTTTAACTACAGGCAGAACACTTTTTGGGGAAAAACATCTATTCACAACTGAAAGTACAATTAACTTCAGCAACGACTAAAGACCTAAACAAACCACAGAACTACTGAGGGATATAAACAGGGAAAGTAACTGCAGACCAAAAGGGACAATAGAAAATAACCTATGTCAAATCCCATACTAAGTTACTTTAAGAAAAAAAGAGAATGAAGAGCAAATATAATTTCTATAGACAAAAGCACACCAGGAAAGATGGTCAGGAGCTAAAGAAAACTATAACAACTTAAAATGTATCAAGAAAATGACAAAACGAGTTTATAATATAAACTGAAATTTAAACAAGAAAAAAAATAATTTCATAAAAGACTAAGCTAGAGCGTTCACAGTGAAGTAACAGTATTAAAACACTTAAAGATGAATAAAAGAAAAAGCAAAACTGACAAATATAGACGATGTATACTAGGATTCCCCAAGAAAGAAAGCAAACTTTTTGAATGCCTTAAAAAAAAACAACCATACACACCAACTCTAAAGACTGGGGCACCCACTGTTATCACAAAGAGCCAACATCCATAATATATGGGAAAGTCCTGACAAGTCAATACCTACAAAGATTAATGCTTATTTTAAAAAATGGATAAAGAACAGAAACAGGTAATGCACAGGAAGAAAACACCAATTACCAATAAAAATAGTAAATGATAACCTCCAATAAATAACATTATTTGACAGTTCTTCCTATTAGCTTAGCAGGAACCAAGATTGATGATACCGTGTAAAAGTACTTGGCGAGGGTTTGAGGAAACCAGCAGTCGTATGACTGGCGGAGGTGTGTTAACAGGAATCTTAGAAATCAACATGGCTCTCGCATATTTTTAAGGCATACTTTTTGAGCATATTTTTAAAGCATACTTAAGGCAAATTAAAATAAAAGACAACTACAAAAATGTATAGTAAAATACTCTTGCAATAACGATAAATGTAATAATCAAAATGTCCGCTAGTGAAAAATTTAACTTATACAATGAAGCCAGAAATTATGTGTACTTATTCCAAAAACTCCCCATGAGTTAAGAGCGAAAAGCAATCTGCAAAGTAGCTTATGACAACACTGGGAATCATATTATTATAATTATGATCTACCAGAGATAAATACCTACATAATTATTAACATATCGGGTTAAAGAAGAATGGCCATCAATTTATCACGTTACCATCAACAACCCTCCTTCGAAGGTTAGCCTGCAAGGTCTGAACAGTAATGTCACTACCTTACTAGTGCTATTAAAAAATATCTGACAAGTGCATAACTCTCCAGAGCCAGGGATGTCATCTTGGAACCCAGTAAACCTCAATGAATAGGAAACTACATAGGGTGTCTGTCATCTTGATCTGGATGAAAGTAAAGTGAAGCACTATCAGCTGAAAATATATACGAAATCAGTACAAGACAGAAAAGTACAGAGTTAGAATTTTATAAATACCTCACGTGGACTTGTGACTGGTGGTTTCCATATTCCTGGGGCAAGAGTAGCCATGTCTGGCAGTGACAGACCTTTGTCATCATCAAGCTGGATGTCACTACACATTGTCCCTGTATTGGCACTGAGCCAGGTATCAGCCCTTCATTTTCCAGACTACCAAACTCAAGGTCTATAATAATAGCTGTTCACAATAATGGAAACGACTGAGTGTCCAAGACCACTGGCCAATCTTGTTTTAGCAGGACATGGTGTTTCTTTTGAGAACACACAGAATTTGGTCAGTTTTTAATCCCCAAAAAATAAATTTACGAAATTTGCGCCAAGGTATTAGAATAAAGCAGGGGTGTCCTTTTATCATAGGTGTCATCACCATGAGACTATTTTACATTATTTGCTATTCTGATTTTTGTTAGAGAAAAGCAGCCTCACCCCACCCTCCTAGTATCCAAATAAGGGAGTATCTGTATTTGAATCCCATACTGCTACTACATCACTTCTGGATTTAAAAACCAAACACTTAACTGATAAATGTGAGATTGGGCGGATCATCCTCTCCAAGCTTGTTTCTTGCTGAATAAAGATAGTAACTGGGGATTAAGGTCAAAGCAAGAGCACAGGACACACACTCAAAATGCAGAAAGGAGTAGTTTTCTCTTTCCCTTCTATTACAGCATTTTCCTAGATCACATTTTAAGGAACACTCATTAGTTAAGCAACACATGAAATCAAAAAAACAGCAGCCAGTTACTAATTTTTTTACACAGATCTTTAAGTTTTATTAGATTAAAATTCACTGCCTGATCTTGGATCTAAAGACTTCACCAAAGTGCATAAGCCATAAATCTGCTCCTACCATACAGACTATAATTATTTTGGTGCATGCCCCATACCTGCTTTAAATAAACAGCAAGTATTTTCCAGCAACAGAGTTCTAGGTAATACCCTCCCAACCTCCAAAGTGTAATACTTTTGCTTTCTCTGGATATAGAAATACAGAATTGAGGCTACATACAGGTAGAGCTAAGAACTCTGCTCTGAAACAGTGACAGAAACTCGGGTGAGACTAATGCTCCCGTTTGAAAACAAAATTGCTGCTGATGAAGAATTCTTGAGAAACATCTATTACCTATAAAATATTTTCAAGAGAAAAACAGTAAGTCTGCACATGATTAAGTTCCGAGACACTGTTAGTAGTTTCTAGTATAATTTTGTAAGAAGTTATATATCAATAGTTTCCATATTTCATTGCCACCTATGATACCGTTCTTTGGGAGAAAGCCATTTTAGTGGGTGGAAAATCTTTTCCATGCCTTTAAAACAGAGGCTGGCAAGCTACTGAGTTACATCCAGGTAACTATTATTAAAAAGTTTACTGAAACACTG